GTTCGGTTCGGATCTTATGTTGGTTTCGGGTTTCGGGTTTCGGGTGGCTTAGGGGGGGTAAGGGGAAGGGGAGAAGGTTAGATGAGATTGAGGTTTGGTTATTGGTATTGGTATTGGCATTGGTATATGTGATTGTAATTATAGTTTCACCTGCTTATTAGACTTCATTTTAATAACAATCTATAATCTATAATCAGTATCATACCATCTGTTATATCATCTGATATATACTCGAGTATTGTGCTATATACGAGTACTAGTAGGTACTTGTAATAATTCCTAATCTTCTCTTATCTTATCTTATCTTATCAATCTACCGGTACCCAAATAAGCTACCTAGCCCATTATCTCATCACCCATCAACAGTTACACAAACAAACCCCATTTATTCATCAACTTCATCACTTCATCACTCCATCAACCATCGTTCATCATCCATCACTCCATCATCTATCACTCCACCATCATCACTCCACAACTCCTCTCCTCTCCTCACTTCCTTTTCATCCTCACTCTCACATCCCCTTCTTTCCTCGCACCTACACTCTATCTCCACCAATCAAATCCCCAACTCTAAATTTCCCAATCCGCAATCCTCAAATCCCCAATATTTAGAGTTTTCGCTTGTTAAGGTTACAAATCATTTCATCATCTTCATCATCTTTCATCATCCAGCTTCACTATCTTATATACCCTACCTCCTAGCTAGCTATAGAGATCATCCTTCAAGGCTTCATTCAAGTCTTCAAGGTATATACAGTAAAAACATTGTTACCAAAGAACACAACAATGGGATTTCCTAATAATGTGCTTATGGTCCTATTGTTCCATCGATATCAGCGATTATTTATCTTGTAGAGTACGTACTCCCCAAGAAATTCCAAGAACTGCTTGGACGTCAGGAACTCGGAGGACTTCTTCAAGGGTTTTTGGGCAATGGAGAGTGGGGGAAAGGGGAAGGGGAAGGGATAGGGAGGGATAGGGATAGGGAATGAAATGGAAATAAGAATGAGATTCGAGTATTTACTAGGTACTCAAGTACTGCATAGTAATTTATTATTGTTTGGTGTTTAAGGTCAATAGTACCGGTATTCTTCATTAAGAAAGGAAGAAGGCGGAAAAGTACAAGTAGAATAAGGAAGTATTGTTAGTTTATATATGATTTATACTCGAGTATTCACACAGGATGAGTATAAAACAACCTCTTCAATAAAAACACTAATTACCGATACTCTATCCTCTACCTATACTATCTATACCACCTACCACCTATACTTCCTACTCGTACCGTTACACAAGCTTCTACTATACGAGTACTGTACAACTTTCTTCAAGGCGGCTATCCATAGGTCTTCTAGGTAGGTATTCATGGATTGTATCATATCGTATCATATCATATCGTGCTTACATTTTCTATATTCGTAAACAAGGAGTACAAATCCATCCCAGAGAGAAATAGGAAAGGGTTCTCCGTCTTGGTTTGGTTTGCATGTGTACGAGTAAGTATGGTATGGTATGGTATGGTAAGGTAAGGTTAAGGTAAGATAAAGAAGGAAGCGGGTCTTTTGTGTTACACCGTAAGCGCCGAGCTGAACTACCTACATAGATACCTAGGTACCTAGGTACATTGCATAGAAGTGATATGAAGTGAAGGGAGGGATTAATTGAATCTTAAACTGAACTGAATTGTGGTATGGTGGTATGGTGAGCTGGGGTGAGGAATCAGGATACTGTTAGGAACTTAGGATGGATGGTATATTGTAATACTTGAGTAGGATGGGATTGGATTTTAATGGGGTGGGGGAGAGGTATGGCTTGGCATATAAATAATACTGTGTTGATAATACTCGAGTAGTTGATAAATCTTACTATCATGATTATTAACAACTCGAGATATAAGGATAGCATTTCAGTAACCTTACAGATTTCTAGATCTAATAGTTAAATTGGGATTTTGCCAGTGAGGTGATAGTGAGGTTTGAGATTTACATTTACAGCAAGGTATGTGATGATAGGTATGTATTGGTATTGGTATTAATATTAATATTGATACGGAGGAACTCGGAAAAGTTTGAAAAGTCCGCAGAGAAGCAGAGGAGAGGAGAGTGGAGCCCCTTGTCATCCCATCACAGTAGAGATTGATCCATCAACTTAGAGTAAACCCCAGCTTTTCCATTATCATAAAGCCTCATAGCAGTAGCTATTTGTTGCCTCTTTGAATCACTGAGAGCTTTCGAAAGAGAATATTCATGGTCATAGACATGATTGCTTTGACTCTCAGCCTTTTTCACGGCGGCAATATATTCCATCTGGTTGGTAAATCTTCGAATCAATTCAGGATCTTTGGGTTCCCCATTTTCATCATAGTTGAAAGGTGCGTCCATAGCAGGCGGAATCACCGAGAGGGTTAGAGGGAAATCTCCAAATATCTCCCAAGGTCCTGCAAATGCCATTTCCCAATCGATTAACCCAATAATCCTATATTGGTCATCGACAATCAAGTTATTGTGACCAAAGTCACCGTGACAAAGGGGAAAGGGACCGCTATCACGAACAGATAGTTTACTGGCTATTATGCAGATGGCTTCGGGGAATGAAGCTACTCCGTGGATGATTTCGGCAGCGTATCCAGGTCCAGATAATGCTCGTAATTTCTCTTCCGACAGAGGAAATTTAACACGAGATGCCCGAGCTTGGTAGAATTCGGTTGCCGTATTAAAAGGTCCACCGATTCCTGGAATGGGGCCTTGCTCGTATGTGCCTTCATCATTTATAGAGATGATGGTTCCAACCTTGGGCAACTGCACTGCGGATAGCTCGACCTAATAGGGTGGGTGGGTATAAGTCAATGAATTTTTCAAAATTTAAATACTATTATATTACTATTTATTAAGGTTTACCTACATGTATTTTTGCCATTCCGTTCAAGAAAGTCTGCATATACTCTTCCGGTATCTCCATATCCAAATCCATCCCCACATTACCTTCCAAACAATCCATCAACATGAACGGTGCATTGACAATACCATCGCTACTCATCTCAAAGGCGTGGACTTCAGGGGTAGGTAGACGGGTCTTTTGACGCACGAGGGAAATTGCATTGAGCTCACAAATCATTCCTCTTTTCACAGTCGTCTCATCGTAAGTCGTCTCTCCTAGACAAGGCATACGAATCCGCGCTATCCATCGAACTGAGTCGCTAAATTCAATGATCCGCACAAGGTGGTTGTAGCCAAGACCAATATCGGGTAGTAAAATGCATTTGGGATGGGTGGCATTTGAGTTTCGCTTCTTGGTGGCATATTCCAAGAGTCCAGGCCAATTTACAGATGCTAGAAACTTCTCAGTGCGAGAACGAAGTGCACCGTCTTGTGTTGAGAAATTGTTCCATTGGTATCCGGAAAATGGATCCCTCTTTTTCTAGATCTTTATTAGTGTACGCATTTGAAAGTGATTGTTTTAAGAGCTTACGGGAGGGTTTAGTAGATTCCATGATCGATGGCTTTTCCTGTTGTTGAAAATGTATACTGGATATAACAGTGCATGAGTACAGGCTATTTTGTTAGAGACCATCCATATTTAGCCTTTTAATTGGCTACTTATAAGAAGAGTTAAATATGATAGAGATTATTCAAAAAGAAGAAACTATTACTTTCAAAAGTATAGCTCAAGATAGAAGATTCTCATTCAATAATAGTATATATAATACTACTAGTAGTAAGTCTAGATTAGCTAGCTAATTATAAATCTAGAGTCTTCCGAATCCTTTTATTCTATTTGAGAATTAAAGGCTCTTATTATTATATAGTAAGATTTAAGAGTCAAAAGCTAAGAATTAAGAAATGAACTAATAGAGTATAATAAGATATAGAGTAATAAGAATATAATAATACCGATAGTATTAATAGATACTCTAGAAACCAAAGGAATAAGTAATGATTAGTATTGAAATTCATTTAATAAATTCGAGATTCGGTTCAAATATTACTTTGCTAGATAAAGAGAGATATAACTTGTTTAAAGCTTAGCTTCGTTTTATTATAGACTTCACTTCCTTTATATATATTTATCGCATTAATTATATTGTTATCTAGATAGCTTGAAGTAGCTACCTAGATAGTTTAAGTTACAAATTCCAAGCAAGCTACTTCTAGATTTAATCTTCCAACAATACATCTATCAAAAATACCTAGTATCTATCTAGATATCCTGAACCGAACTTCAAAGTAATACTACAGTATATTAGTACTTGCTTAGCACACAGTCTTAGAGCCATTATATCGAAATATAATATAACTAAGACTGTTATGGAAGTGTGTCCCAATCACAGATAACACATGGCCACGGGATCACCTAAATAACATTCCATCTGCATTATCTCACCCACAAGCCCACGCGTCACTAGCATGGCATTTTATTTATTGCTGGTTAGTATGAAAATAAGGTAGTAGGGTGATAGAGAGATAGTTAGTGAAACATATCCATTTGGATTTTAGACAACCTTTTCGTTTGCATATACTCGTATAGTTATAGTAATCTTACTTTATCGGTTACGAAAAGCAGGTTTTAAATTCCCCGAATATATATATAATGAAATCGGTGGAATGTGATATATATAAAAAGAAGTCTCAGTTTTTATACCGGTATATGATTTGTGAAATTTATATATAGTTTTTGTTATCGTGATCTAGAATAGTCTATTTCGTATTTCGTTTTGTCTATAAGGTTAAGGATTAAATCCATTCGTAAGGGCTGGCTTGGCTTGTGTTGACTTGTGTAACACACTGTAACTAGATTAGCTAGGGCCATAAGGATTTTAATTAATTATGCGTTAGATCACCGAACCGCATGCATGTCTTACATGTACCATCCCGATAACAGTGTCAGGGTTTTGGTATCATAACATGATTCATGATTCATGACGAGGGGAACTGTGGCTTATTTAATCAATTCATATTCTCGTATCTTATCAAACACCCCAGCACCCCCAGACTTTTTACTTTTCTAGCTGAGGTGCATTCCTCAATCAGTGACAACCACGACTTACTTCCCGATGTGCTACAAGACGCTTTCGTGGTTCGATGCACCACGACCGTTTTGGTGAAACGGGGGAGCTTGGGATATGGGAATGTTCTCTAGCTTTCTTTCTCTCTATCTCTCTATCTCTCTAGGTATATGTGAAGTGTATCAATTTATTTACTTATTTGTTATAGTATTGCTTGCAGTGTGTGGTGTGAGTGTGAAGTGTGAGTGTGAGATTAGTGGACGCGCGCGCACAATGGCAGGTTTCAATATAGGGTTTTGAGAATCATCAGTTTGGCTGTACATCGAGTTCTTCCTTCCTTTATTTATTTACTTGTTTGTTTTACTATCAACACAGGTTCTGTATAGTATATACGGTATAAAGAATCGATAATGTAATGAGGAGAGACGGGTCGGAGTGCATTGCATGAACGAGTGGCCCATGGATTTCTACAGAATACGTTTGTATCATACACGATGATCAGTATACACATGTACACACACACAAGGTAACCTGATTCCGATACCTACCTATGTGAATCCAATATCTCAGTTTCCTGTTTTCGTCTATACAGTATTATCCATACTGGAGTCTGATAACGTGGTAAGGTAAAACAAGATCACGACATGGTATGGTCTCGTAACTACGAGTATGCTACTTTTCAATAAATGAATTTCTCTCCTCGTTACTACCTCTTGTATCATCCTATGTTCTAGGCCTTCACTTAATCTATTTCTTCTATTATACATATATACATCCATTCACAAGCCTACTCAACCAACCAACCATCCATTCATCATCCCCCATATCTCCCTTCAAACTCCACCACTCACTCCCCCCTTCCAAACTCAATCACCCATCCAACCTATCAATGACATCCACCTTACCATCCACCCTACCATTCGCTTCGCTTCAAACTCCGAACACAACACGGCAATCAACTCCAGACGGAATAAAGCGATCGGACTCGGAACAATAAATTACTCACATACTGTACAAGTAGACGCCTTCCAATACCACCTTTATTTTACGCCTACATCCTTCACCCCCCTGTTATAAACGCCTCTTCTCTTTGCATTCTCTTCTTTGCATCCCGATGTCTATCCCGTCGGTCTATATTATTACTGTTTGATCCGAGTTATTATATACTTTATATATGCTTTACCGTGACATTACCGTGACACAAACATTATCTTCCCTCTCCTCCACTCCTCTCCATCCCTAACCCCGAACATTAACTCCCTTCTATACACATGAAAAGCATATTTACACACAACTTCTCTACAAATCCCTTTCTTTCTTCCTTTCCTTGGCTATAGCCTACAAGTACTCGGATATAACTAAAACCGAAATTCAAAAACCGTGACATATTAATCAATAAACCAATTTTCCTTATATCACACTAGTATTAGTATATATACACTAAGTAGTATAGAAAGATATAGATATTACACTCTGAGTCTTAGATATATATATACTATATATTACGAGATTTTAATTTTAGTTATTATATTATATTTTATAAAAAAGACTAAATTAAATAATACGAAAATGAATTATTAGAGTATATATAGAGAAAGTTATATAATCTCGAATTCGCGCTTTCTATATATTATAATATCTCTAGATTAGAATATATAACTAGCTATTATTTTAAAGTTTTAAGTAAGATGTTATTGTTAGACTTTATTGTAATTCAATATTTATATTCCAAGGCTAGGGAAACTAAATGCTTTCTCATATATTCGAGTACAAGGCATATTGTTCCGATTTCTATACTCGTAGTAGAATGTATAGTACAAATTTGGAAATTATTACCTTATAATCATATTGTCCTAGTACTGCGAATTGAAGGTGTCGAGAAGTGATAAATGGTGAATTCTTTCACTTTTCCGTGAACGAGACGAACAGACATTGGTTCTAAGGTCTCGGAGCTGAGTAGTATTGTTAAGTTTTAATACTCTACAACAGCGAGTAAAAACATACAAGGATATGTGAATCTCGGTCTGAGCCTCAAAAGATATACATCAACAGATTTTGTGCCTCTTGATCACCCAAATACCGGAATGGGAGCGTTCTGTCACGGATTTGATGATATTATCCAAAGGATCATGAATGCGTTGTGAGCTTTTGTCGGAGAAAGAGCACGGCGTTTGAGACCTGCTTCAAAACAGTACTCCGATTACTTTCTCTAATGGCGTCAGCACTTCGACATTCCCACCCCAGGTGCCTTTTTGGTAGGCAAAGCTGAACAGAAATGTGGATTCGAGTAGGATGGCGACCGGCGTCAGCCATACCATGAAGAACCATACGACTATCGAGGTCTGGATACATGGCTGCGAAGGCCTCGCACAGCGGTATCCCATACAAGTACTGTATCTTACCTACAGATTCAATCTTCGATCATCAAGTGAATTTTTGGCATCTGAGCGACTATATCCTTAACCTAGAAAGATTTTCCACAATTGCCTTCATGTCCATTGCACTAACCGACGTACTCAAATGTGCTCCTAGAGTCCTAGTGCATACACTTCATTCTCGTCACCCGCCGTCCGCCGTCCGCCATCCGCCATCCGGCAACAGCAAGCATCAGCAAGAGGGTGTTTCTCGCTCACATAAGTTCAAAAGTTGCACTAGAGCTCTCCGACAGCTCTTCCGTATCCCAAGCAATACCAATATCCCAATTCATCCGCTGGACAGCATTGGGAAAGCATATAAAAGCAAGAATTGCATTGTCACGCCGCGCGGATCAAATGAGACAATGTTAGATTACAGATACCGGTACTTGTAGGTGACATTGGTGATTCTAGTATTATCCGGAATCGAGAGAGAATCGAGTTGATATCAATGTTTAACCCGAATGATAGAGTAAAGTGTTGATAAGTATATACCTAGGATTGCCGTGTGTTCTAGTATAGCCGAGTCAGCACATACCTACATCGTCATATTCTCTTCTTTTCATCAATCTATAATCATTTTATAAGAAAAGATAATACGAATCATATCTATCTCCCTTCTTCAATTAACAGTACTATCTCGAGAGAAAAGTATATCAACTTCATTTTATTATACTCGAGTATACCAAACCAACGCTAAAACCTACACCCAAACCAATAACAATATCATCTCTATTCAATAATATACTCAATATTGATGAAGTATATCATTATAGCATATAATTCTCGTCTCTACACATGAGCTAAAACTCCAAGCTCCCTATACTATACTACCAGTATACTATACCATATGCTGAGTGCTCAGATTCCCGAAATCATTCCAATTCCTCACAAGACACCGCCACCACCATCAGCATACGCTCAGGCTCCCGCTCCCGCTTCCGCTCCCGTCACTGTACTATACCGTATACTAACCATACGCCCAGACTCCCGATACTATTCCTTACAAATCACCACGATACCTTTCTACGCTCAGGCCCCCTCCCGCTCCCGTCACTAGTCCCTTCTTCTCAACTATTCCTCAAGTGACCGAATCTTTAACCCTTAACCTTTAAGCCAAGAACCATACACCTCAAATCCCAATCCCCAAATCACAGATACCTGCGCAAATGCCAAATTACCTTTTTATCACTCACGCTCATCTACTTAACCTACTCAGTGAGCTACATACAATACTAATCCAAAAAAGTGCTCTTTTGATATTTACTCGTATTGCATACCTCCCATCATATCCCACCCACTCTACACTACACTATACTACACTACCTACATTACACTACGAACTACCCCAATATCAAATCCCAATACCAAAATCCCAGTACCAAAACACCAGCCCTTACCCTAAAGTGCCCTTTCATAGTTCCATCTAGAGCTCCTTCCTCCCTCCATCGGATAGCAGTTCATGAACCACCAACTCCAAACAATGCACCTTTTCCCTTTTCCTTTTGCCCTCTCTACCAACCCACCCAACCCAAAATCCCTCAGTTCGCTTCCCCTCCCTCTCACCATCCCCTTCCATCCCCTTCCCTTTTACCCTCTTCCACCCCCCCGTAAACCTCATAACTAGACCCCTGCTTCCTACTTCCTGCTTCACTTCCTCCCACTTTCACTTCCTGGCACTAGTCAAAGCTCAGAGCTCAGAGCTCAAAACATAAACAAAATACAGCATATATCCATCTAGTACCAATACCAATAAATTACTCTTCACTTACAGTAGGGACTATTGATTTTCCATCTCACATCTCACATCCCGCATATCGCATATCGCATATGGCATTTCGCATGCATACTAATAATTACAATAGTATCCAAGCTTCAAGCTCCTAGGTTATAAATTCTAAGTTCCAATGTACCAAATCGTATACTATCAGCTGCTACTAAGATTTCAGCAAACACAATAACTGATTATGTCATTTTACTATACCAACTTACCGACCAAACCAAATATATACAAAAGCATATACAGGTATGAATAATATATAAATGCAGCCACAAGTGCATATAGCGTCTTCTCTCCCTATCTACATCCACATCCATAACACATCCATAACACAATTCACTTCCCCTCCCCCTACTCCCTCCTCTTTTCCTCCCCCCTCCCAAACCAATCCAATCCAATCACACCACTTCACTTACCTACCTACTTACCCACTTACCTACTCACCATATCCTAATCACAGTCACAATCATGAATCATGAATCACAAATCACAAATCCCAAATCCCAACCTGCATACCTTACCCAACCATACCACCTCATCTCATCTCAATAATCCCCAATCCTAAATCACAAATCCCAAATCCCAACCTGCATACCTTACCCAACCATACCACCTCATCTCATCTCAATAATCCCCAATCCTAAATCACAAATCCCAAATCCCAACCCGCATACCATACCCAATCCAACCATACCACCTCAGCTCACCATACCACCTCAGCTCACATCACCTCTCCTCCCTAATCCCCAACAATCCCTAATCCCCAACCCCTACCCCTCTTCCTCAACCCCCAATCTCCAACTCCTAATACCTAGTCCCTAGTCCTCAATCCCTAAACCTTACTCCCTACTCCCTACTCCCTCACCCCAAGAAACCCTAGCCACTAACCCCAACCACTAACCCCTCTAGGCTCCAACGAAAATAAAAAACCCCCTAAACTAAACCAGATAATGATCTGATCAGATCTGATCCGATCCAAGATCACCCGTACAGTACAGCACAGTACGTACTACGTACCCTCCTTACCCTCCCTGTCAGGCAGCCACGAAGATCCGCACTAAACATAAACAAAATCATAAACATAACCATAATCATGATATATCAACGAATCAGGACCTATAAAAGTACGCTATACAATATACACTAATCCTTATCTATCATTCCCCCCCCCCAGTATATGTATAGTGGAGTTACACTTCTCTTTTATTCCCTTTCCCTTTCCCAGTTCCAGTTGCAGTTCCATTTTGCTCCAGCATGATCCCTTAAAACACTACACTGCATCTACCACACCCCCTAGCATACCCCTCCAAGTCTCAACAGAGATCACCATTGCACACAGCCTCAAGTTAGGGACACAAATATATGCGCGCCCTGTATGCACTCTTCCTCCCTCCCCCATCCATTCCCATCCAAAGAAGCCCTCAAAACTGCAAGCCCTATCCCTATTCCTCGCACCAGCCCTGAGCCCATCACTTTACATCCGAAGAAACCCCGTACCCCTCACTCACCGCCCCTCTCCCGACCCATTAGTAGTCTCCCTAGCTCCAAACTTGGAAATCTTCATCAATGCACACATCGCACGATCCAACACCGTCCACTTTAAAAACATCCACTTACATCCACCGCCTGCACGAAACAGTAAATTCCCGCCCGTCACAAGGGCGATCCGATCGATCAAGAAACCTTCTCAGCTCTTTTCAGGGTCATTCGAAGTTCCGTGCTTTTGCTCGCTCCCTGGTGACATCTCGAGTCTCGACTCTTCTAGGTAGCTTCATATATGAATCAACAAGACAGGGACCATCCTTCTGTCAACCTCCTCCACCTCACCAATACATATCTCGCAAACATCATTTAATTCACCGTCCTTTGCCCTTTTCTTTTGCTGCAAGCAGCGACCGTGTTCACGACTGTAATTGTTGCATCTCGCCCTTCATAGCGTATCCGTTTATCCTATTGTTCCGTTTCAATAGCTCCAAAATTAATAGAAGTGCCGTCGCCCCAATAGTTGGAGGTCCAGACTCAAGAAGCTCAACCTTAAATAGAAGAGATCCGAGCGTGAAGGATTCATCCATCATGCCCAACTCTAAATCTTCCATACCGCTCTGAAACTAAGGAGCAAAACCCCAAAATCTTCGTTGCAAGTTCCAGGAAGTTCCAAGTTTTGAAATCAGATTTCCGATTTTCCGATGTGTATCCATCTGGGTCGAATCAATTGCAAATAGGCGCTGCAACCGCTTTCAAAGTACAGGCACTTTCCTATCCCTTCCATGTACCAGTATAGTGTGTCATGATTACAATATTCAATAACATATATTTTATACCCCGAGCTTGCCTGACGAGGTGAGCGGCTCACCCACCAGTTTGCCCAATTAAGATTTTCATGTGACACTTCGTCGTTGTGACTGGTTTCTTAGGGCATCAATTTCTCGTTGTAAGGCACTGATATCTGCTAGGATGTTGGTATTACCACCAGTTGAATCGAGGGTAGTTTGCTCTTCGAATCGTGAATTTTGTGACATAGATGATGAATTAGAACTTCGTCGATATTCGCTACTGGCATGGGGTGAAGAAAGAGGCAAGACTGGAGATACATCGAGACTATTTCGTGATTGACGGGGACGAGGTGGCGGTGGTGGTCCTTGCATAGAGGTGCGTTTGGATATATAAGGACTTGGATCTTCGATGCTGTGTACTGAGGGTGCTCGGCCATGTTTTGAGGAACCCCTTCTTGGCGGTGGAATGGGCAATGATGTTGTTGACAGCGAGGAAGATATATGCTGTGATTGGGTTCGGGATAGACCATGTTTTCGTGTGGGAGGTGGAGGTGGTACTTTCCCGCTGTTGGCTTGAGGTCGTCCAGATTCTATTGAGTATACGGATACATTGTCTTCTTCCAATCTTGGTGAAAGTCTTCCGGAGACACTTCGACTCAGTTTTGAGTCATTAACAAGCTGACTGTGTCTTCGAGTTACAGGTGGTGGAGGAGCAGCCTTTCGTCTTATTGATGAGGATGGAGATGGCGGTTCTGGTGTTTTCCCTGCAGATTCTCTATCAAATGGAGATTCTCGATCCGATTCACCACTTCCACGGGGTGGTGCTGGGGGTAAAGGTTTGTTCAGATCTGTCAAGGAGCGGTTTGGCGTCGAAGTCATGATAGGAACGTATTGCGGGGTTGTGGATATTGGTTGCGGTGGTGATAAGGGAGACACAGCTGTAGGCTCATCTTTCAATTCCATCTTAATCAATTTACCGTGATGTCTCGAACTGGGCGGGGGTGGTTTCTTTTTCACATGTAACGATGAAGAGTCAGACATCACTCTTCGTACTTCCTCTGGTTCTGATATCTCATGTGATGATCTTGGTGATTCCAAGTGTGGTTCCTGTATTGGTTCGAATATCGATTGCCGTGATAGTGAAGACGTATCCGTACTGCTGCTGCCTTCATCTCTCAATGCATGAACGGGAGGGAGTTGCATCGGGGTAGAAGGTCCCAACCCCGCATTCCCGGTCATCAATAATCTCTTAAATGCATCCACATCCATAGAAGCTCTCCCAGGGCTTGTAATATTTGTATGTGATATGCCTAATGCATCTCGAGCTGGATTCTCCATCGTCTCCAATGTCTTGGAAAATGGATTCAGGATGCGAGCCCTTGGAGATGTATGCTCTTCCTCATGCTCAGATATATCAGATGTAATGCTGTCAAATGGATCTTGCTCATCCTCTCGAGTTATTCGCGTTGGGTTTTCGAAGGGTGTCGAATCCTCCCCTAGAGTAGATATAGAATCCGGGATTGAGGGCGATGGTGGTGGTGGAGACTGAACTCGAACCTTTTTGGGTATCTTTTTTGGCACATCTTTTGGTTCTATGTATAGATATTCGAGATTTGAATTCGCAGATTGTTCTGGATTCATGAAGTGATTGACAGTGGGGTTCGAAGGAGGTGAGATCGTCGAAGATGAGAGGGGACCTTTCCTTCTGAAAGGATTAGATGAAGAGAAGTCGGCAGTCATTTTGTTGTGGTCTACTCTAACCCTGAGACATTCAGTATCACACTGAAGTGGATGTTTAAGGTCATACAGGTCGAGCTTCCATTCTTTTTTGTAGGTTTTCGTGGGTTTGTATTACTCTTCCACCGGATTTCTCGGTCGTGTCGTTGTTGTTGATTTGAGTTGCTTAAGGTAGGTAAGGTTCTTATCGTTTAATTGGTCCGTGCATCATTTGATATTGATGATGAATTGACCGGAAGCAGCAGAGAGGAGCGAGAAGAGAAGGGTACAAGAAATTAATGATTATCGGTATATATACAAAGGTTATGTATGGGATGAATTGAGGTGGATTGTGAAGAACCTGGAGATGACTTCAAGTTCAGATGAACTATTGAGTGTGGAGCTGTAGGAGGCGGGATTGACAGCAATGTCCGAGGGGTTTAAACGGTTTCGTGGCTGCTGTTTGCCAAGCTTCCTTTGATCAACCCATCTTGGAACAAAGCAGCAACCACCGAAAACAATTGATTGTGTGCTCCTTGATTAATAGATTTGACAATAAATGTCAAGTCATGATGATTTGACCTTAACTGCAAGGCAGTGAGGAACATCATGTTGGACCCATTGGCTATATACTCGAGTAGTTGCTCGTGTTTTCATCATTTCACGATCTTCCATATCCATGTTACGAACAGCCAAAGTTATTGTTTGATGTCTATTGGTACTTTCTTACTATTCTGCTTGCGGGAGAGACCTAACTAAACCGATTGCAATCTATCTACATTGTACCGAGTATAGAGTACAAACCCCTCCACTCCTCTTCTTCTCTAAAAGTGCTGGTTGTTCGAACTTGAAGGATACCTCGGAGGTAGAGGTCTAGAAATTGTCTATATCTGTCTCCTTTCTCCCATGATAGCTTGCAGCTTATTATGAATGACATAATGAAAAAGCTTCACTATGATCTCGAAATTGCCAATGTCTAAAGTTAGCCAACAAGTGTATGAATGGCACAAGGAAAGACAATTCCATAGTCAAATAAAGATGGGAAGCTGAATGGTATCATTGTATTCGACCGGTTAATGACCAGGTTTGATGTTAGCTGTAGCAGACCCGGAAACATGTGGCTTGACCTAAAATTTGAGAGAAATCTGATCTACAGGTGGGGTGGGCTCAACTGTTAGCAGCTTCCAGAATTATCACTTTGACTTCCATTGGAGAGTCCTGCTATAAATTGCTTGAGCCAAAAAGATTCTGTGCCAAGTGTATTTGGCGAAGGGAGATGTTTATTCTGCTGATAAATCTACCAGCAATGGGAAACCGGTGTAGTGCGCTAATCAACTTGAGCTATGAAGTGGAGACACAGTTTGCGGTACAACATTGTTTACGAACTGAGAAGCCGAGCATAATTGGGACGAGAAATCTCCGAGCACACTCATAATCGTATACAGGATGTTCGGTCTCGCACTCAAACTTTTCATGCTATCGTATTTAAGTTATGATGGCTTGGACTTCAGAAGTCATAAACCGAGAAATGAGACAGCTACATTCGCTTCCGTATATTCCAAACAATACTTTTATCTAAAAGACACCCATATAAGGTACTTTTGACACCAAGCCAACCATGCAAACACCTTGATCTTGTTGTATGATTTCGAAAAATGATTCACTCTCTTTCGTTCAAATCCATATTTCACAGACGTCTTCATCTCGCACCTGTCGCATCTTATACCTCCATCTAGCACAGCCAAGTCTGCTCTCATCTGACTGATGTCTCAATTTGCTTCGCAGAATACCTCCTGAGCTGTACAATAATATATAGTACAGAGAAATCACATACGTACGCGCTGAAAGCCACCATGAATATACACCGCTAGCCATCTGCGAGTAATTGGTTGCAGTAAGGAAAAGGTGCCTATATAAAGGAAAGCGAGGAGAGCATTCCAAACCGTTGTAAACGATGCTTCTCATAACTGAATTCTAAGATAATACCATTAGTCTAACATATCTAGAGAATGGCAGGATGGCCATTTTAAGTGTGGAAACCCGAGTCGTTCTTGAGTGGAAGAGCATCCATCTCATGAGACAAGTATTCCCAGTGGAACATCATCTATATCCATTATTTCATGCCTTCAATTAACTTAATAAACATTGTCCGTAGAAACCTGTCGAACTGTATCGTAATTACATACACACTCGGTCCAACAATCTTCTTTACGCCATTGACGGGCAACATATTGTTGGATATCTGATCTCATTATGCTATGTGAAGATGAGCACAGGATTTTTACTAGTAATTAGCAAGCCCTCAGATATCTAATAATTCTTTTTTCAATCAGATTATCATTCTTCAATCTACAATATCCAGCAACCATTACCATAAAAGCATACAGCATGCAGCATAATCACATCCATAAATTCTTTAGATAAGTTCTCAAACCAAAAAAAAAGAACACATCCTCCAACACCTTAAACCAACAACCTACAATTCCTACCTATAAAAATTGCAAAGCCACGAGAATTCACAACTCCTAAAAGCCATAAAATAAACCTGGCCCATATGCATGCCTAGGTATCTAATCACAATCTCCAAATCCGTCACAGTACAACTACTACATATCCGTCCGTATCCGTCCGCATCCATACTATACACACTTCCCACTATTCAAAACGAAAACTTGAAGTCTTTATTTTCCTTATTATACCTACTCGTATAATTTGAACAATGCCAACCAGTAAAAAGATTTCGTAACCCAATTCCATTCCTAAAGACTAGGTGGATTTCCTAAAATTCGATGGATCAAAGCGTGACCGTGACGTCGATCCTTTGTCTATATTAGATTCTACCCCAACATATATGCACACATTCATACATTACATACTCATATACATACAGTACGATACATATCGGTACTCAGATACCACTCCACTCTACTCACTCTTATCCCATCCCATCCCGTTCCATTTCTACCATCACAAAACTCCCTATAACACCTACACACCTACACAATCATCCCATCCCTTTCCCCCGTCTCCTCTCTCATCTCAGCCTTCTCATCCCCTCTCATCCCTCAGGCTAACATACAATATACCAATACCGATATCTAATCCTACACCCGCATCCCCAAACGCCCACATCTACAATCATCCCAATCATCCCAACCAACCCCGTCCATATCCATTTCCATCAATACATCATCTTTATTCAATATTTATCATACTTCGCCGTACTAATCATTACATACTTTTTCTTCTTTTTCTTCTCCTCCTCCATCTTCGGTTGCACCTCCGCTTCTACTTCTCTCTCCCCCCTCTCCCCTCTTTCCACCCTTTGAACCCTCGCCCTAGGCACCTCAAACCACCCCTCCCTTCTCCAATCAACTTTCTGCACCACTCTCTCCACTCTCCTTCCCCCAACCGAAACAAACTCCTCAAAAACCCTCCTCCTCGTATCCCTTCCCCCCATCCAATTGCCCCCCCTCCATTTCCCCCTTCCCAACCTCTCTTCCCTCAAAAACGGCAATCCCAGCACTCTCCACTCTCCCTCCCTCTCCCCCCTACTAACCTCCAACAAAAACTCCCTCAAATACTCCCTCCTCCTGTACTGCTCCACCGACTCTCTCACAAACGGCCTCACCCCATCTAACCAAGCAATGCCCTCCGCTAGCACCCCCTTCTGCGAATCCTCCAGCAAGAACTGTCGCGTGTAGCGCTTCATAGTATTTTGAGTAACTCTCAACTGGCGACGAACGAGCGCTTCGCGCTTTTTGCGCGTCACCATTTTGTGTTTGTGCGCGAGGGAGCTTTTGTGTCGATGGGAATTTTTGGACGCGCGATGGGATTTGAAAATGTGCAAGGGGTTGATGTTGTGGATGATGGAGGCGAGGGCTGTGGGGAAGGAGGGAGGCGTTAGCAGAGGTTTTCAAAGGGATGAGGAAGGATGAGGATGAGAAGAAAGGGATATGGTACTTACTACCTGATCTGTCTCTCCTACCAGTCACCTTTGCTTCAGAATTCTTCGCAGATCTCTCCTTGCCATCTTTCTTAGAAAGACTCGGTACCGGAACCTTGGGTGATTTATTCGGATCCGGTGTATTAGACGCACTCTTTCCCACAAAAATCGCACTTATATTCGCACCAGCATTCATGAAGAACGAGCCCAGCTTAGTAGAACCCGGTGTCGAAGCAGGTAAACTCGGTGTCGAAGAAGGTAAAGTCGGGGAATCATCTGCAAACGAAGCCGTCTTTGAAAGTTTCGATGTTGTCTTCCGCAATGAATTCAGATCGTTGGAAGCCATTGTATCAATGCTTAATCCAGGGGATGCTCGGTGTCTCATTGATGTATTTTGAGCTTGCGCTTTTGCATGCTGAGACTTGAGTCGACGTTCATGTTCCAATGCAATATCAAGATCGGTTTCCCAGCCGCCGAAACTTGTCTGTTTCGTCAATGGTGGAGGAATAAATCCAAATACTTTGTTGTCTGGAGAGATTGGGCTTGCATTTGAAATGGCTGCAGGTCTGTTGGCTGCATTGATTCGTACCACGGGTCTTGGCTTCAGAATAGAGTCATGAATGATTGGAGTTTTCATTGGTGTAGCGGGAGACTTATATGGCTTCGGAACAGAGTCTTGAGGAATGGGGGTTCTGGTAGGTGGGATAGGAAATTTGTATGGCTCTCGGCAAACAGTAACAGTATGTGCATAATATGCCGTACAAGCATGTTGTGAACCATCGAATATGCTCCCCATATCTTGAGACTTAGATGTCGGAGCCGACGGCGTAGCTCTATCTTTCTCTTTTCCGCCGTCTTTGCGAGGGAATAGGCCCAAACTCTTCTGTTTCTTCAATAATGGTCGCGGTGGAAGATTTACCGAGTCATTTACCGGTTCGCTATCTCTACGAAGAAATAAACCTAGACTTTTCTGCTTCTTCAATGCTGGTCTAGGCGGTGGAGGTGGTGGAAAATCCGTGAAAGAATCTGCCGCGGAAACTTGAGACATTACAGTCTTGGACTGTGCGCCTGGGATAGAGATACCAAGTGCGTTATTGATCGACGTAGCCCCATTGTATTTGACAGATTTGGAGCTCTCAGAAGATTTCCTGGGAGTCTTTGGACTTGCGTTGTCATGACTCGTTCCTGGCTCCTCAAATCTGACAGATTTCAGACTCTCACACGATTTCCTCCGGAAGATAGTGGCCATACTACTCTTTTTTCTCAATCTAGGTTGAATCTCTTCAGGTGGTTCGTATGGACTGTTCAAGAATGAAAAATTGGCATTTGGGCTAAGCTCTGGCAGAATAGGCTTTCTCATAGGTGTATCTACTAGATGTCCTCCCGTCGTAGGATTCATGTTCTTGTTGACGGAACCGGGTGTAGAGTCGCACTGAAGCTCATTCGGAGGCTTTTGTTTGGTGAGTTTGTTGCTTTTTTGACGAACATCTGTACGTGGAGAGGGTGTAGTAGAATTTAGTGGTGAAGGTAAAGGAGACCTAGAAAGTGAGAGCGAGGCATTCCTTGTTTGGACTTCAATAGAAGAGTTTTGTAATGCAGTCTTACGAAGTAGAATTCCAGGAGTGGGTGTAATAGGACTTTCTTGCCGTAACGGTAATGGTGATCTAGGATTCGAAAGGGATGGACTTGGTGTCTGCATTTCCTTGGTCGCAGGGTCATATAATGGCATCTTACGAAGTTTGATTCTGGGTGTGGTCATCGTTGGAGTAGTTTGAGAGGGAGTAAACCTAGAATCACTGGTGGCGGAAGATGGATTTATCATTGGCGTATCCGTGGCAGAGTCGCGCAATGGTGTCTTGCGAAGTTGGAGTTTTCTAGAAGCACCTTCCACCGGTGTACCCTGCTGCGAGGATAGCGGAGAGCCAGGAATTGAAGTAAAGCCACTCATGGCACGACCCCGAAGGTCACCAGAGGAATTATACGACTTTTGTGTGCGGAGTTGAGGATTTGGGGTACTATCTGGTGCTATAGTTTTGAGGATCGAGGGATAGCCAGGTAACTCTCGTAGATCCAGGGCCTGATATGCTTGAATTGCATCTGAATGGTTCTTCAAAACCTTCTCAATGTGTGTTCTTGGACTATCTGTAGTCAACGAACTCTGCTGCGAAACATATGGTGTTGAGCCAGCCCGAAGGGTATTAAATGAAGTGGCATCGCTATCTTGGTGCATTCTGCAAGATTTGAATTTTGTGGAATTAACACTTGAGGCTCTCGCCCGTGAGGACGACGACAAGTCTCCATTTGGAAATGATGCTCTTCTCTTAATTGGGGCTTCTGACTGCCGCATGGCCTGTAGAAGCTTCTCATCTTCGGATAAGTTCTTTGGACGTAGCTGATATTTCGGATTGGGAGGTCCTCTTGACCATGGATCAGGGTATGATGTTTGACGAAAAGGTGACATTTGCTGCTGATCTTTCAATGGGACCCAGGATTGAAAACTTTGATGTTGTGCAGCTTCGGAGTTTTGTTCTGTGAATGGTGTATTTGCTCGCGGTCTCGTATGCTGGTGTAGTACCGAAGCTTTCCTATCTCCATCCGACGGTCTTTCACTTGGGAAAGTTTGCTTCTGGTAGATGGCAGGAGTTGTCACAACGGAACGGAGCTTTCTTGGGGCGTTCATTGGTATAGTGTGATATTCCTGAGAGTATTCGTGGTGACGTTTTGGAGATGCCAAACGCTTTCGACTTTGTGATTCTCCATCCAACCTACTAGAACTTCGAGACTCGCTAGGAGAGCTCAACACTGCTGCGTAAGATGAGTTTTCTTGGCTCTGCGCTTTGTCTGTGATGCTTTTCGCATGGAGTCGAGCAGGTGGCTTTTCGAGGCCAGGAGGAAAATATTCTTCCACGGCAGGTTGCTCGTTCTGACTGCCCTGTCGTTCAGTGCGAGTCGACGTAGACGAAGATGCGGTTGTGCTTCTGGAGTGTGCTGATTGTATTCTGTATGCTATTCCTGCGCTTTTTTTGAAGAACATAATATCGTATACAGCATTCGATTGCTCGATCATCTTACAGGCTAGCTCAATATAATCTTTTAAATTCTCTCGAGTATCAACCCAGTTATGTTTGCACTCTGGATTCTTTAGGAGTATCTCAAAATCATGCAATGCTCCGGTGCCTTCGCGCTCCACCTCGATGATGAAATTGTAAAACTTGGCTCGGTGCTTTCGTAATTTGTCACGGTCAATGAGATCATTTGGGAGTTCTTGAATGCATGGTGGATAGAGGGTATTGAGCATCGCAAGAACGTTTGGCTTATAAAACGGTTGAGTTTTGAGCTCATAAAGCATAGTCTGGTGAACGAAGGTCAGCACAACCGTTGATCTTAGAGACACAAATTCTCATACCCAGATTCGTAGATCAACAAAGCAAGTAGCATAGAAACTTTCGATCATTGTCTCCTGAGCTTGAATATCTTCTACCCACTTTCTGGCATCAGGGTCAGCACGGAGAACCTTTCTCCAATTGTTCTTATCAATCTTCAACCGCAAAGCAACTTCTCTAAGAGCCTCACGCCTCCGGCACTCAAGGTCTTGGAGATAGTCTATGCCGGTGAGAGCTTGGCTAAAGTCTACTAGCTCCTCCGCCTTAGTAAATACTTTATCCAAGCACCATTTTCTGATAAATTCAGGTGGCAATCCTCGGCTCGCTCGTTTCTCATTTGGGAATTCTGATGCAAAGTCGATATCTAGAAGAGATTTATTCAGAGGGTCCATGAAAGGATCCTTTGCTGCATGGTCTTTCTTTTCTGGTGAACTGCTTTCGGCTTCATCTTTATCATTCTTGGCTGTGCTGGTTGTGGTTCCAAATTTCTCCTTTTTCTTGGATTTTGATTCTTCCAAAGAGGACAAAAAGTTAATAATCGCAGTCCCCTTTGGTTCGTACTGCCACCACTTATATGCTTCCTTTAATGTTGGCACCCGATGGCCTATTTGATGGAACAAGTCAGTGATTATCCAAGAAAGAGCTTGTTACAACTGGGTCTGGATACTCCAGATACCATCGGAATTGTCGCAAAAAGAGAAAAGAGAAAAGAAATTTGACAAATGTTAACATACCGGCATTAAAGGAGAACATAATTCTTAAGGGGAGATCGGAGGATAGGTTGCACTCTAACACATGACTCAGAATCCAAGGAATCCGTTCTTGGTGTTGATCAATGATGGGTGTAGTGGTAGGGCTGGAGATCGGGTCGCTTGAAGTTGATGATAAGGAAGACCTGGTAGACAAGGCATCATCCGGCCAGGAACCACTTGAGATTGAATTTCTAGCCATTGTATTGAGCAACTTAAACTTAGGCGACACCCCTGTTCAAACCAATCAATCTAAGATCATAACCAAAATGAATGAATTGCTGGAATTGAATATTTCTTTGACAATGATAACGCGAAAGATGTGGAAAGCTCCACTACGTATACTTTCCGTAGAGAAGTTATTAATTTCTGCTCTTGATCCATAGGCAATGGCATTGATTCCTCCAGATACTCATGCGGCAAGTGTATCTCAGACGATATGAGAGGTGTTCTCAGAAGACCTCAAACTGCATACTAATGATAGCTTGTGGAGGTTTGGTCGAAATAGACAATGTCTGCAAGGAGCCTGATGGAATCGTATGGGAGTGCAGTCACCTCAAGGTCTTTGAGTATTATCTACTTCTCTCAATATCACAATATTGACACTCGTCGATGACTCGGTACCCACAATTTACGTCTGATGTCACTATCCGCATTGCAAACGGCAAACGGCAAACGGCAAGGGGCAAGGTATCCTAGCTGGTGATTAACCCGGGCCCAGGGATTTTTGATATACGATAGAAACTCTAAAAGGATCCTCTGGCTTGGGAAGAGATATCTGATGCTCCCTTTCGTCTGATCCGAACGGAAGAAGTAATTCATATCTGGGTCCAAAATCACTTAGAAAGATCCATACTCAACTATGATTAGTAGCCAAGGAATGATTATTTCGTACATATGCATTCGCTCGACTTAGCGTAAGCTTTGAAAGGCATATAAAGATCAATTCTACCGATTTTGGGTGGTACAAAGTCAACCCCTATCCATATTGGCATTAGGTGCACCTTTCACATGATTATGCACTTCGGCGTGTAGTTTCCGAGTTATTCGACAGCATCTCAACCAAGCTGGGATAACTCCCAACATATCGCTCTTGCACCACGCGAAGGCAGAGCCTATCCAATATGTTGATCGCTCGGGAGTCTCGAGTGTGACTGATATCCTTGAGTTTAGTGAACATCTTGCATATCCTGCATCGGAAAAATCATTGGCTTCCATCTCGGAATTTCTACAGACCACAAATGCCACATGGTTTTCAACAGTCAAGGGTATAAGGCTGAATACAGCTAGATACTCAGATTGGACGAAAGGGAAGAACTTTGGAACACAAGAAGCAAAGATGATGCTCGGAATGCTCATTGCCGTGGCTAGTGATGCAATTATCCTTTTCTAGAAGGGTGTAGGATAGAGCAGTATGAAGGATACTTAATCTTTGCAGGTTGCAGGTATATGCGGAATAGCCTTGAGAATCGGAGGCGAGTGTTGTATCGTGAGCAATATTATGTGATGGATAATCAGATTGAATGAGGAAAGACTTTTCGATAATATTCTGATGTTCTGATGTGGTCAATCTGTTTGGTGTTGATGAAGGTCACCGTACAGGCTAGTCTGTGACCAGGATTAAACATCCCTGGTGCTTCCTGAGTTTATTTATATTTGATTGAATCTTCACATCGTAAGCTTTCTTACTCGAGTACAAGTCTACAAAGGTTTAAACTATTCGAGGACTTGAGAGCATTTGATATATTACAAGTCTGTTGTTATAATATATGAATAGACAGCTGCTAGTGCGGGTACTCTATTATATTGTGTTTGCAGCCGAAAAGGAACGAATCCAAGTTTATTGACAGCTGCTGTAATCCGACGGGTATCGCTAATATATACCTAGGTATGATTGAGAAGAAGTAATTGGTGATATGACTGGTATCTGATATCTGACTGTAGTTGCAATTCCTCAGGCCTAAAGAACGAATTAGTCTTGAACTCGAATTGCTTAACCTGAGTTACCTGACCCTCTGTCAAGAATGCTGAGCCATAACGTCCGATTTGTATCTAATTTCATGAATCCATAAATTCGGTAACAACAGGGTCAAACTGATAACCTTTTGAAACGAATTCCAAATACTCGTATCAAATACCTACTAGGTAGGTATCACTTGTTTCAAACTTCAACCCGCGCACCGCAATTTACCATAGCTTCAGGGCCGCCAAGCAGATTACGAATTGAACGGATTCACCAAGTCAATTCTTAGTATCTAAAAACAACAAATCTAACAGCAACTAAAAACAAAAGTAGACATGGTTTTTAACAATTGTATCCAATCGACACTCTTTCCTTAATATTTCAATTCTATTTCCCATTTCCATTTCTATTTGCCAAAGCTAGGGAAGGAAGGCTTAACTTAACGATGAAACCTTCAATTCTTCGAGCATCCATCATCAAAAGAACCATACGCGCTTCTACAACGCGCTATTGGCTACAAACACGAAAGCCCATCATCGCACAGTCACAACCACGATATAAATCAAGTGGTTCCAATCCCGAAAAACGTAAGTTTTGCCCTTTTGGATTTCTCCGTACTGGCCCTGTACTGCTTGGCATTTCATTTATTTCTCTTACTCGTTCAATTTCATCGGTTGCTGGTTTTCAATGGGTCTGTCTCAGTTTATCTGGTGGCCCAAATTTCAGTCTGGCAGAGCTCTGCGTCCACAGAATAGATTGATCGGATGGGACAATACGGACCTTCTAGAATTTCTACATGCATGGAGACTTCTATATAGTCGATCACGTGAAAACCACGTGTCTCTAATGACACCAAACCTTCCCGCTTTGATCAAGTTCCATTATCTTTGAGAATTCTTCATCTGACAATACTTTCACGCAGGTAATCCTGAGAAGGAACCACATTATAATCATTGTCACAATACTCGAGGAGATTCATCATCACATGATGGATCCCTCAATCTCAGAGCGAAAATGCTCGAGGCAGCAGTAACAGCCTTTGCATCTCTCGTCGTTCTCGGAACAGGGTTCGGCTTAGGAGGTTATCTCTACCATAGATTCTACAAATGGATGGTTATTCACAAGATGGAAATTGCTTTTAAACCAGGTGATCCAGTCCTCGACCTCGCCGCCACTACAAAACAGGTCCCCAAAAAGCGTACAGAAGCAGCTGAAGATGATGAACACTGGATACATCGTGCCGAGCAAGAGAAGATTGATCAAATCGTGAATGGCGAAGATCGTGGACACTATCATCTGTTGATTGGAGAAAAAGGTGTTGGAAAATCTAGTATGTTGCTTGAAGCTATGCAAAAGATTGATGGTGAAGGGGTTAGTATGTTTGAAGCACATGCAGATCCTGAGATTTTCAGAGTACGTCTAGGAAAATCCCTCAATTTTGAGTTCAATGAGGATTATATCGGATCATACTTTTCTGAAAGAGGACCAAGGGATAGTACAGCGTTATTGGATATCGAACGAGCAATGAATAAATTGGAGAAGGTTGCATTGAAGAGACGAAATTCGGGACGTGGACCTCTTGTAAGTGTACAAAAAGAATTCGATCGTGATCCCATGGCATTCTAGTTGAGATGTGCTTTGGATAATGTACTAACATTTACAATAACAGATTGTGATCATCAATGCGATACATCTGCTCCGAGATGATGACAATGGCAAGGACCTACTTGAGCTTTTGCAGCAGCGTGCTGAACAATGGGCCGCATCTAACCTAGTCACCATGGTTTTTAACAGCGATGACTATTGGGTCTACGAAAGATTGAAGCTACTGGCAACCCGTATGGAGGTCACCACCATTCCAGATCTTCCACGAGGGCTAGCATTGTCCGCTCTTCAAAGATATCGCCAAAAGTACTATTCTGAAACACCTTCATCGCAAATACTACATGAAGTCTACAACCGAGTTGGTGGTCGTCTGACGTTCCTGAATCGAGTCGCCAAATCCTCGGACATGCTTGAAACATGTAATGATATCATCGATACCGAACGAAGATGGTTCCTAAATCAATGCTGGATCTTAGGAATGGAAATGGATGATGATGTTATGGATCAACAAAAATATGCCGTAAGTATCACTTCAATCTCAAAATTCCTTCATACTCATTTTTTTGAATAGTCCGCAGCCATGGTCTTAGCCCACGCACTCGTCGCCGCCGAAAAGGACACTCCAACCTACATCGATGATGGATCCCACAATATCCCTGAAATCCCTTTACACAAAGCTCGTCAGATTATGACTCGAGCAGATTTTATCCAACAATATGATCACGTCAATCTTTTTACAATCACATCGAATGCCATGGTCCGAGCTGATTCTGTACCGATGCAACAAGCTTTCCGCAGTATCTGCGCCGAACCAGGATTTGATGAACATCTCGCGAGGACTTTGCAGAGAATTGACGATATAGAAAGTTTAGGCAGGACGAGGGAAATCGTTGCGAAGGATTTGGTGTTGGGTGGGAAGTATAAGATTACGATGAGTGATGGGGAGAAGAAAGGATCGAAGGTTACGGAGGTAACTTTGGAGAAGAAGCCGGAGGAGGAAGATGATGATGATGAATAAGGTGTTGGAATTGTGCTGGGAGTGAGTGTATGATAATGTAGAATTTATATATTTAGAAGTGATCAAAGGAGAAGATTACTGACATAGTATTTCCACAGTTGGATCTCATTTCAGAATTTAACTGGCACCTTCAAGATACAGATCTAGCAAATATTTTGGGCATTTAAAGTTTATGATTTTGGTCGGATTAACTTCAGATCCTGTCTCATCACCACGCAGATTCCTCACTTTACGCGGCATTATCCTCAAGAATGACATCCGCCCCCTTCTCAGCCAACATAAAAATCGGCACAACGGGAAATCCTCTAGGCGTGACAAAAGTTCAAAGAGCCAAAATCAGCAAATTGCCATCAAGGAAATCATTTATGAAGGAAGACAAAAAACCAAGAATACATAAACAACAGAAAGATCATAAAAAATCCCAACTAACCTCGGAAACGCACTCCTATCCACAACCCTCAATTCCCTGGTCCTTCGAACTCGAAATCTAGATGCTATTTAAGACCGCCAATTGCACACGTGCTCATCCCATGATTACTCCAAGCTCGTGCTCTGATCTTCTCCTCTCCGCCAGGTCACATCACATCACACTCACTCTCCACATCCTTCCCACTAGGCACCACATGCACTACCAAGACGACTAAACACCTTTTCCACACTTGGACTAATATGCCGCTGATAAACCTTTCAAGGTTTGAATCAAGCTTCCATATTTCAGCCCTGTATCTTGAACAAAATAAAGAAAATGATTCCGAGTACAAATTCTCTCCTTCAGTTCGACTCCTGTCTAGCTTTACCCAAGCTAGTCCGGAGTGTAGACTGTCGAACTGACAACTCAAAATTTCTCTCAAATTTCATTCCTTTGAAGGCGGCGCCAAGAGAGTCACCGGGAGCCATTTCAAATATAGTTATTTTATGATGTTACCTAGGTATTCATCACGAATTGTCACAATAAGTTCACATTGCAATGTATACAGCGTCAATTTATCATGGAAAACGTATGATTTACTTCACGTCTTCAACTCATTAATTGCTAGTAGTCATATCCATCACCCAAAAAGCTTGAAAACTCAAAGTCAAATCACAACGCCGGTGGCATCTTTATACATCCCCATTCCGTGACCATCCGCCATAGAGCTTACATCAGTTCCCCCTAAGTTCATATCGTAGTCGTAAATCGCAGATCATAGGTATATCCGTGTACATAAATAAATGCTTCATATCCATCCATATCCAAAGGAGTATAACATTGAAAGACATTCCCCAATCCCAAAAAACCGACGGTCGTGCATGGCCAGAAACGAGAAGTGGAAGGAATCCAGCAGGTGGCCAGCCTAATTAGATATCCAATCACAATCTCATGACTAGGTGCGAGATGCGAAAGACTTCCAAGGTGGTGGCCATCCACACCAGATATCTATTCGCAAACTCACAAAGACCCAAAGCCATAGTCATCTCCATATAACCATCAAACCAGAAATGAAACCCAAAGCAGCACCCATAAGTATCTCCCAACAAAGGTACGATGTCAACGTAGTTGAAAACAATCCCAAGAAGAAACCCAAAACATTAAATCCTCCTGCCGTGAACTAGTAATGTCTGATCTGCGTACATGACACCCGTAAATTGCACCAGTATAATCTTCTCTATAGCGCAGTTTGTCTATGTGCCAATACCAACTTCATTAGCGATCTTTGCGTCCAGAATACAAGACAGCGGCTAGTACTCGAGTATGTAACCGTGACCTTCTCATAATTTTTGTAGTGATGTGCAAACCACCAATCAATATCCATCAACCGTGCACCATCAAACGCTTCCCACACCGCTTTGAGAACAAACCAGAACATTTTTTAATTCTGACAATGACTCTTTGCTTAAGTGCATGGTGAGTAGAAGTCTACCTTCCTTTGGCCAACTAATTCTCGGAGAAATAGTCATCCAAAGTTGGAAGGCGGGACGTGGTTTGAAACCCCTTCTTAGTCGTGGCTACCCCGCCTTTTGATGGAGGGCGACGACCAGTATTTTGGGTTCTCATGGATGCAGAGTTTCGTCGTGGAGTATTAGGAGAGGGAGGGCAACGACCAGCGTTTCGATTTTCCATGGATGCAGAGTTTCGTCGTGAAGCATGGGAAGATTGCTGACTACCTTGCGCAGTCTCCGACTTTGTCTTCTTTGTCGGAAGGGCTTCCTGGTCGTCGCCGCCGTGAACTTGGTCATTGTTCCTCGATCTCTTCCTAAGGTTCGAGGGCGGATTTTGCTGATCTACCGTCGCGGTCTGGGTTGGAGTTGAAGCACTGAGCGGAGCTAGTGAAGTATTCCGAGGAAGGCGTCTATCCATCTTCACCTTCTTTGGTGGTAAACTTTCCTCCTCATCTTCACCACTATAACTTTCATCAGCTTCTCTTGATCTCTTCTTGTCATGCGAGAGAGAAGTTGATTGATCAGCCATATGACTACCTTCGACACCGACTGGAGTAACATCCAGGCCGAGAAGACGGTGAGCCTCTGCCAAAGCTTGGACAGCTCGAGTACCCGATGCTAATCGGAAAGCAGAATCGCCAGGAAATTGACGGCCTTGCACATCACCTGAAGGTGGAGAATCATCACCGTAGTTAAAATCGGAGATGTAACCATCATAATCAGAGAGGTGACCACCGCGGAGACGAGTAGCTGATCTATCCAGCTTTACCTTCTTATTTGGTGGAAGGTCCTGTGCGGCATCTCCATTCTGTTCCTCGCTGAACCTCTTACGATCACGGGCAGATGCGCGGTTCCCATTCACAAAACCGATTCTCTTCAGTGGTACGTTGGCTGGCCAACCTGATTCGGAACCAGTGGAAGATCCTGAACTGACAGCTGTCTTGGGATCCCGAGCCCTTCGCACTATGTCGATTGCTCTGGGATCCGCAAAATGCGTCATTTGGTTCTTTATACCATTCCAGGTTCGAACGGGAGCTTCGCGATCAGTTCCCATGTTCTTTCCGCGCTCGGAAATTGCTGGACCATCTTTGGAGTTGTATCTGACGCGAGCGTACAGTTCTCCAGCGCTTTGCGTCACACCTTCAAAGCGGTCATTGTACACCGCAGTCACCACTTCCCAGTCGATATTGGCCCATGATCCACCGACTTCTGGTGATGTGAGATGAGCCTCTAGGATATCGCACGCAGCGTTCATCTCTCCCTGGGTCCACTTCCAACGTGTTTCCGCCTTTTTGCCCAGAAGTCGGCTGAAGATCTGACTTCGCCACTTGTTGAGACCTGCGATGTAATTTGCACTTTCCCAATTCAACGCTTCCTTTTTGTATCGGTAAGTGACGTTGGCAAGATGTTGGACTACGCCCGGTTTCTTTGGATCCTCCTTACCCGTTTTGAATACGATGGTAAGGGCTTCTGGCCGTGGAATTCCGACTAGAACTCGGCTTCGGTCATGAAGTCCTTCGTCCATCACCTCATGACCAGGAGGCATTTTCTTGAGCGACTTTACCGGTGTATTTGATGCGTTGAATGTCTGTGACTTAATGGTAGATTAGAATGATTGTTCAAGGCGCCAAGAAAGAATGTAGTAGTAACTACACAAAGGAAAAAGATAACTTACACCCATGGTGCTACTTCCAGAGGCCCCAGTTGGTTCTTTGGATTCATTATCGGTATTCAAAACCTGACCGGGATATTCCCTCGTGTTATCATTTTCAATTGCTTCAGGACAATCTTCAACATCTTCATCTAAAGCCTGGCAGAAAAATGTATTAGCATTTTATCTTCTGATGATTGCGATACTAGCACACGATGGACTCACCTTTCCTTTCCCTTTGTCCATTCTATTAGGCTTTCCACCAGTAGGGCTGTTGAAGTTCAAGCGGATACGTGGCACCGCAGACAGTTTAAAAGGAGCCGAGACTGGGGTGTCGACATCGGGTGTATCCTCATCGGGTCCTACTTTCGGCTGATCATCTGCTGCCTCGAAATCATCCTCTATTTCCTCCTCCATGTTGTGATCTTTCATAGCAACGAAAGAAAGCACAATAGGATCGGAAATTAGCTCAGCTTGATAAGCACACACTGTTTCCTGTGGATATGCTAATTTCATTTGCGCTTCCTTTATATCATGTTCGGGCGGTGATACAGAGCGAGTGACCTGGTAGACAGGTGCGGGGATAACAGGTGTTGACATGGTCCCACGTGCTGCTTGGACTCGAGCTTGAGCCTAAATATATTCAATCAGTCTTTGGTCTTTCAATGTTCATTTCGCTGGCAAATGAGGAACTTACAACTTCTTTTTCTTTGTTGCTCCTGAAATCTGCCTTCGATGAGGGTGGAGATGGCTTCTTGATTTGATCTGGGATGGTTTCGAAAACGTCAACATCAACATCAACAGCGATTTGATTGCTACCTTTTGCTGTCTGGTTTCGAGTCATTCTTTTCTCGGAAATGCCAAGAATGACTTGGTCCTGTGATACACTTGATGAAATATCTTGAGGAGCTCTTGAACCTCTTACTCGAGAGCTGGCAGAGGTCGATGATTTCGTATTGCTAGGACCCGAAATCTACAATCGAGGGTTAGTCTCTTACATAGATAGTACTTTTCTTGGGATCAAGCTGTTGGAAAATGTGGACATACCTTTGGCTGCGCCGGAGCTTTCTTCCATTTGAATATCTTAGATACCTTGTTTGCTATCTTCTCCCCGATACCACTACCATCGCGAAGTGCTGTGTAGACTTCAAATGCTACTTTCTTCTGTTCTGATGTGGGTCTAATGTCGCCGGTGGTCTTGATGACAGATGGTTCTGTCCAGAGACGAGGAGCAAATGAGGAAGTCATTTTTAAGGCTGGTTTTTTTAAAGGATGAAAGACTGGTGATGAAGTTGTTTTTACGTATGCAAAGAGTAAGTAGATGATTCTGATGAGGACAGAATGAGATGAATGCAAGAGATCTTTGTTGAAGTAAAAGAAATGCGATGTTCTCATAAAAGAATTGTTACGATTTTTACGACTGTTAAGAAGTATGTTGTAAGGAAGATAGAGAAGAGGAATCTCAGGTTGAGAGCTTGAGGCCTTAAACAACGATTTCTTCCATCGAGGTCTACGGCACCTTCGCTTACACTCTATATGGTACCAAACGGTTACACCAGACCTCAAATTGGGTCATTTGGCACGTGAAACCGAATTCTAAATTGTCTATGGTACTATATATCGGAATCCTAGCCAATAGAGTCAGAGTCTATACATAGTTCCTTGGTTCTATATATATTTTCAGGCACCAAGGCCTTCCAAGTCAGTACTTCCTAACCCGCCCCCCGCTTTATGGCTTGATTGTTGTATTCCATAGCAATTATATACACATTAGTAAAGCAACTGTGAGCGTTGAATAATCAGCCACGACTTGTTAGCGGCCAGTGCATTCCCTTTTGGCAGTTTTTGGCGGCCCTGGCGATGGAGTGAATGGTTCAGAACCTATCCTATGCAGCACAAAGGTATGGACTAATTGCTGTGATTTACCAGTGCGGGAAGAAAAAAATCTGATCGCCTATTAGATTGCCCTAATTGACTGTATTGCATCAATTTAATTCACCTGTTAGATGATCTTACTTTGATTTTGTGCGGAGAAAATAGTGGCTATGAATTCTCCGAAGAAATCTTCGGATCAATTTGATATCTTCAATGACATTGTCTGTTCCAAATAGTTGTATGATTTGTGATTCATATGAACTGAAGAGTACAATATAGTACTATGGTACGAAATGATTATGTTAGTGTCTTTCATCTAGAGCTCTTGGCAGTAGAATATATCTGTAAATTTGCAACCCCTCCATCTAATTTAGGTTCATCATTCTTGAGTTCTAACTGAGGTTTAAATTTGAATTGTAATAGATGCCAATTAGTCGATATTATGTTGAGTTCGGCGTTTCTCGTAATGCCTTTCTTGACTGCTCCATACATACACATCAATTCGACATGCTCCCTCTTCACAAAGCCTGGAATTTCTTGCCAGACATGCAGAATACACTCTGATAATAATCGTGTAGTTTAAACCCTAGATTAAAAAAAAGCCACACATTATACCCCTGCCATTTGTTGTGGTAAAACTGGTATTTGACAAGAGCGAATATGAAGTCTACTTTTATTCGGGCCGAGATTAGTGTAGAAGCTATGCATGTAACGGATAGCAATCGTCAATTAAGCCAGTAAAGACCAGAAGGAGTGAAACAATAACAGTAATTCACCATTTTGTAAGAGAATGGGATAGAATTATGACTTCAGAGCCGAAATATTCGGAGATGAATGAATTTGCGGTCAGGGTTCTTGTTGGAACATACTGATTCTAACTGCTACTGGTTTAGACAGGGCAAAAATTGCTGGAGTGATTATTCTGCGTTTCCCGAATAAATTCCACTCAGAGCATGTGAGTTTTATACTACACAATGAGAAGTTTTGTTACTCAAGATTGGTAAAGAATGAAGAAGGCTACGATTCGCTAATACTTGAAGAAATTAGGAATCATTTGAAAACTATTCTTCAGGCCAATCTTCAGATGGTAGCTCTTTTATCTTGCAGTGAGAAATTCGGTTCTGTTCTCATAATCTTTCGACCAAAAACGTAGGAAAAATCATCTAGTAGTATGCGATGGGCAGTAATCTGGTATGATCTAGGCTTTGCACAAATAATCCGCAACTTGTGAGTACCTATAGATAATCTGCCCTGTGGATTACCTATTAGAGTTATTATCTATTTGTAGATTATTTATTGGTATTTTAAAAGAATTTGTTTTGTAAATCAATAAATAATAGATATAATTCAAGAATTATTATAGATTATAATATATTTGATTGTCTCAAAAGCTACTGTTATTCCTGCAAGCAAGATCTCCAGACTTTCTTTGTATTGCTCAACAGATTTTTTGCCAAAAAGCCCCTCTCTACTACATAAGGCTACGATTCGACCTCATTGTTTTCATCTCAGCCGTGTCTAATCACACTAATTACCATTGAATGAACCTCGGTGACTGTATTGGTGTGTATATAATGATTTAGGCAGTCTACCCGTTCAACTAACTGTATGTAGTTAGTCAGAAAAGCAGACAGAAAACAACAACCTCCGATCTTCTCCAGACTTGAAAACTGTCACTCAACAACAACTTTTATAAGTCAAACAGATTTCTTTTTCAACAACCATGCCGATAACCAATTTTATTTCGAGTGGTAGTTGTGTTATTTGAAGTGATTTGCAAAAGGAAAAGCCCACAAACAAAGCAGTGCGATCTTGAGTTAATATTAGTAAGTCAAAATATCCTGTTCCTCTCCATACCCCATGCAATATATCCAATACCTTTCTTTTACATTGTCCGGAGGTACTCGGCGATTCTGTCAATACAAACATCGTGGTCACCCCGAGATGAGGAGTTGGATCAGGAAGTTGAACTTCTCCTTCATCAGGCGCAGCCCGCAGTACACTCATTTCTACCCAGAATACAAGAATTACTCCGTGATTTATCTATGTCTACTTGATCCTCCCAACATGTTCCTCCTTCGTTTCAATCAACCTTCAACTGCGTTTCCATTCTTTATGTTGTGCTAAATATCACTCTCAAAGAGCAAGATCTCCTGCAAGTACGCCAACACCTCTCTTTATCTCTTACAAATGACCACTCGATCACTGAAAGACCTTCAATTATCATATACTTACGGTGCAACTCCTCTGACATATTCTCTTTTAGTTAGGTATTCGGCAGATACTTCAAGCAGAAAACCCTCCAAGAAATATCAATAATTACGACAAAAACGCACACATCCGGTCCTTTGAGTACGTATAATATATATTTCACCTTCAATGCTTCAAACAAATAACTCAGCTTGATCTGTCATCGCTTATTTTTTCATTTTTGGGAGAAGATGTATGGGATACTAAAACTTCCATGAGTTCTTTTATCCCATCTTCTACTCTCATTAAAGCATATTATCCGGCTTGAGATGAATTACCCTTCACTTCCCTACAACCATCATGAAATTAGTCTCGCATTAAGTACCGTATAGAGAAGAGACTAACAAGTGGTTGCCAGCACATACCTTCATTATGATGGCCCCCGCTGAGGACGCTACAAATGCTCAGAAACCCGATAAGCTCCCAAAGTTACATCAAGAGAAGCCGATCCTCCCAGATACTAGTGTTCCTAAGAGGCCTAGACTCGCTCCTAAACCCTCTGTCATCGTATCTGAGCCCTCTGTCGTCCCTCCAGCACTTACCGAGGACAAATCAGATGCTGATTTTAGTCCTGGTCACGCGCCAGGCTACATTCAATGGAGGAGAGCTCCTGTCCTTGATCTAACCAACGAAACTGAGGAGCAGAAAAGGCACCGAGTGAGTTCATACTCTTAGCTTCTCATGTGGCTCCAAAACTCAAACTAACATACAACTAGCTTAATAAGAGACACGCCCCAAAGAGTAAACGCGGCAATCGCTGCATCGACGACGGTACGATCGATCGAAGTCCTGCACTCATTGGCAAGCCAGATCCCTCCAAGCTCATTATCTGTTTCAAAACAGAAGAGACCGATGAGTACACGAACGAGATTATCAAAAGCGATGTTAGGCATGAATACGAGGATGACGAAAAGGGTGTAAAAGTGGATTGGGACAACTCCAAGTCTATCCAAGCGCTCAACAATTGGCGCAGTCAGGTCATTCGAAGAGCAATCGGTAAAGCCTATGATAGTAAGGAGTTTTGGACCGTACAAGAACAAAAGATCATCACTGGAATAGTTCTCGATTACCTCAATGCTGGAAAAGATATCGACTGGCGTCAGATTGCCCATGAGTACAATTCCTTGACCCGAGATATCGCGCAGGATGAAGGTACACCTGGTGCTACTCGTCGCTATCGCTGCCAGGGTAATGATAAGGCTCCGCGAGAAGCTATAACTATCTCTATGCCGCTTCGGGAGCACCGTTATATCCCTCAGCGCAGCGAATGGGTTCTCCGACGAGAGATGGGTTACTTCCTTGCGCCTGATGCAATCGCAGCCATGAATAGACTAAGAAGTAGTTCGCGTCCTGAGCGGAACGGTCACCCACCAGTCAGGTCCAATCAGGAGGAGAAGCAAGTTACTAGGCAAGCCAAAGGTGAGGCAGTTACTCAAGAGTCCTCCGAGCAAGAAGACTCGTTCATCTCATCTACATACGATAACGATCGGTCCATCCTCAACTCTCCTTTTGAAACAACTCCAGATCCCCCATCTCTTCCCCTCACACATCCTCGACCACTTCAACCTCGCCCGGTAGTTATCCCTCAACCTATAGCAGAGCCTCCTCCTCGTCGTTACAAGAAGCGCACTGTTTATAACGAAGAGATCGTTTACGATGAACCATCTAGCGAGTTGAACCGTCCTCCAATTAGCTCCAGCGCCATACAAACAATGGGCGGTAGACAACAAGCCCTCGATACTTTGGCTGAGCAGGCTACTATCATGTATAATCACCTGCCCGAAACAAAGAAATGGACTGCTCCACGACCTATTGCACCTGCTCTCATTAACTTTAGACCATCTTTTGCGGCATCCGATCCTTCTCGCTCTATTTCTTTCGAACAAATAACGTCTTCTCCAGCAGCTTCTCTTAACGATGAATCTCCCGTACGAGCCTCTGCTGCCCGTACGCTTTCTGCAAACCTAACTCAAAGACGAAAGCTTCCCTCAGGCCGTGGTCAACATCCTGTCTCTTCTCCTTCCACTCCATATGCTCCGCCTGCTGGTGCAACGATGGTACCTATTTTGGCAGTCCACCGCCGATTACAAGATGAGGCTGCAGTCAAGGCTGCGGTAGACGCTGCTGATGCTGCTGATGCCAATGCCAAGAAGTCAGCTCCTTCTGAGCCAATTCTCGAGCTTTAAACGAAAGCTATACACAATTTTTCCCACTTCCAATTATTTACACATTTCCAGATTCTTCTGTGCTAGGAAAACTTTCAAGTAAACTTTCCCCCTTCCTAAAGACCAGTCTTTTGGACTTTGGAGAACCTTTTTCGATTCTTTGGTGGCCTATTTGCCTCCTTTTTCCTATTTGGAAGTTACTCTGCAGCCACTATTTTGCCTTCGCTTTGCGTTATTTCCGAGATTATTGAAGAAATTGGAGTTGAAAACTAATACCTGTTTGTTAAGTCTCCACTGATATTCATGAATATGACCTAATAGGATTTGATATGGTCGCCAGTCAGTAGTTACATTTCTTTAGCAAACAATTAAACTTAGTATTGCATATTTAAGTATCTCTACGTGTGCACAAACATTTCCTGAACCACATCTTCAGATTTTCAGTTAATATTCACACCGGTGGGTGAAATGTGATTATTATGGCCGAATATTGAGAGAATCCAGCGTAAATCTTGGAATTTTTCAATATCCCAAGATCAATACTGATGGCCAATAGAAAGAAATCTCGATATACAGGACTCAGATTGTTTAAATTTTTCGGTACTCAAGTTAAAAGAAATGAAATCTGACGGCGAGATCCAATACAGAAGTCAATTAGATAACTGTGAGGAAGTGTGAAACCTTCATGATATGTTCTAGGTCCATCAACAGTCCGCCATATCTCCCAGTGCGCCATATATCCCAATGGATGGCATCATCATCTTTGCACCTACAGAAGAAGTACCATTTCCAATGCCAATGTCTTTATGGTTTTATCACGCTCAGCATGGGTCAAAAACACAACTAGCAGCCCCCTCAGCTATAATGAACTAACGGACATCTCGGTATGCCATCGGGTGTTATCTTACAAACCAAGACTCCAGTACAAAGTTTAATTAGAAGATTATCAAGTAGTATGATATTGGATGCCGCATATAGTAGCCCCGACGAAGAAGAGTGATTTTAAATCACTATCTCAATCTTAGTCAATGAGAGTAAAGAGAACAGGCAGCAACAGTGTCCCACAAAGAACTTGAAACTATCAACTTGGAAACAATCTTTTCATTCAATGAAAGTAAAATGATATTCAATGTAGTAGAGAAACAAACGTTGAAACATTAAATTGAGAATACTACATGACTCTTCGGCATCCATCTTGAAGCTACTATAGAAACAGGACACAAAATAAGAGACGGAAAGTTGGGAATAAGTAGCGAGCATACATTCCGTATGTGGAAGTATATGTTCCATAAGCCTAGGAATACATCCTTGATATAACGAAATCTCATTAGTTCACCTGCATTATTGATCAGAACAGACATCTCGTTGAAGGCATCGCGCCAGCATAACGTGGTATCGGTAAGGACCCTCTTTATTAGGTCCACGTGATTCGCCTCCTATAACCAATCACGATTGGCATCGCTGTATTGGCGGCCAAGATCTATTCCATAACCTTTATCGCAGATGTTGTTGCTTTTTCCAATATATTCCACAACATTTCTCTTTCAATACGTAACTCGAGAACAATCCGAAAGCCAACTAAATCTACAAACACAAATACAAACAATTGTGAGTATACTATAACTTGACTTCTCAACACTTCTAGAGTCATTGAGTGATTATGGTTGTCATTTCAATGGCTAACAAAACCTCAGATTTCTTTCTCCTTGCAATAATTAGGGACTTTGAAAATCGCACACACAGTAAAAAGCGGTAAGTATCTCAGCATAAGGAAACTTACCACTACTACAAAACCAAGTTTTGCCCTATGTCTGACATTAACTAGTTTTGAAGTGGCGAAATATCTCACTGTATCTTCACAGAAAGTTTTCCTCTTCTACGTCGCTTCCAAACGTACTTCAAGATGAATCGCCCAGTTCTTGGCCTAGATTATGCTCGCCTGAATATTCCAGTTCTGGACCAAAAGTACCCCCGTTGGAATGATCTGTTCGATACCATGAACTTCGACGATAGAGGATCCCTTCGCAGAATTTTGCAAGCTGCTAGGAGTGCGGAGACATTTCACCCCTTTAACCTCAAGCTCACTGAAAGCGCCACACTGAGCGACGCTGAAATGACTGCTGTTCGTGACCTGTCATATGCGTTCAACCGAAACCATCTCTGTCGTGATATGGTTCGTCATCTTATGTTGTTCTCCAGGCATGATGACGAACAGTTCACTCTTGAAAACGAGGCAAAGTTTTACACCGAGGTGCTCAAAAAGGTTGATTTGAGTCCCGTTCGTCAGCCAAAGGTTTATCTTCAGGTTCGAAGAGAGTTTCGTCGGCTTGCACCAGACTTAGATGATCTGGATGAGAATAGAGCGGCGGCAGAATTGGATCGATGGGCAAGCTGGGAGATTCCTAGATTCTGTGATAACATGGAGGTTGACAGGAGGAGAGCTACCGAAACGCAACATGATGGAGTAGTACATGTTCAAGATACGACCAAATGGAAAAACGACAGGGAAGTCGTACGAGTGGAGAATAACGAAGAAGCTGAGATAATTGAGGTGATTTGTTTCGCTCGAGAATAAGTGCAGCTATACTGACAAATTATGTTTTTGAAGTCCGCCAAGATTCTAATGTCGATGAGCATGGAAAGAGGTATGGAAAGTCCGGTCGTAACATCTGTTGCGATTCCTCAGATAGCTAACTGCAACAAGAGAAAGAGCGAAGAACCAGATGATGAATCAAACAACAACAAAGTTGCATCTTGCAACACAACAAAACTGCAAGAAACATCACTTGATACAGCCCAGATTATCTGCACATTATTCCACACCATTCATTCCAACAGAATTATCATTCTTAGTATCTCAAGGCAACAAACCAATTTCTTCAAACGACTGAACGAGCGAGCGACTTTACCAGCATCTCGAATATTCTCAAGCAACAAAACAGCAAAACGAAAGTAGCACGAAGAACAAAAACATGTCGGCCAATGGCTGGCTCTTAATAGAAGTAGAAGCGCTTTGCGACATTCTTTCCAGTCATCTATCACAACCCGAGATAAATGGCCAATTTTCGAAGATCGATTGGGACGCAGTTGCGAAAAAATATAACAGTCACTTTGCAGGCGTTCTCCACAAGAGAGGCTCGCCATTTGAAGACATGACCAAGATGTTGAATAAAGATGTCTACGCATGCGGAAGAACTGCAATTGCTATCAGGAGGCATACTGTGCTGTTGCGTAACGGCTTGAGGGCCATCACCGGCTTTGCAATAGCTCAAGACTGCCGGTGTAGACGACCCAAAGGAGCTAGGAATCTATGACTATAAGGGAAATAGGGTATGTCTTCAATATCTTACTGTAACCACCGTATTTGTTATCAATTCTAAGTTACATCTGCGAACAACTAAACCCACTCAGATTTACCATTGTATATCCATTCTCAAACTCGCGGGGCTCATCTTTGCCGTCTCAATGCCGATCACTACACGATGTCGATACGGAATCAGTTGGGTTTCTTTTCATAGTTATTTTGGTTTAATGCTATTCCTTTTACGCTTTTCAGGGTGGCGATAGCTCCCAGCATCACAATAGTGGAGGATACGTTTCGGCGAGGGTTGGTAATTTGTATCATCTTCGGATGCATAATTCAGCGGCGAATTGCATAAAGTCAGAGCGAATTGGTATTTCAATTAGGTTAGGTGTTAAGCAATCAAGTTTTCTTTATCATCTTTTCTGGTCTCATTAAAAAGTGATTGAGTGTGAAGTAGAAACTAAAGTTTTGCATGACTGCTAACTTTGCGGAACCATATCAGTCACCTTCTCGTCACTACCCCTTTTAAATGTCTCAAATGGCAGTGAACGTATGTTCATCGATTACTCCACGGTCACCATGAGGTTAAACCTTTTTTAAAAGTTCGTTGAATTCAGCGATCTATTGTCTATAAGATTGAGGTTTCAAAGTATATGCTTGCTAGTGACCTTATCATGTCTCTCGCCAACGCCATTCGAATCATCACTTCGTCATTGAAAGCAGGAAATTTTTTTAAAAGAAACTAAGTCACGCAGCTTTCCAACTCCCGTCACTGAACCAGATATATTTGTTCCCGAACGACAACAGGACAATCATGTAGCTACCTAGCCATTGAACTAATCTATTGAATCTGAGAACTCCATAATCCTAGACGTCGATTCTTACTGAAGCCAGAACCTCCGAGATTATCAATAATCTTTTATTCTGCATCACCATGGCATTTTTTTCAAAGCTTCCTAAGATAGATCCACCCATAGTTTAGTCTCCCTCTAGCTCAATCATCAAAGGGAGCCCCATAACCACCAAGCCCCCAAACTCTGCAAGTGGGTCTACCACCGTCAAGCTCTCTCTAGCCTCGACAGCGATTCCAAGTTCTGTCACTTCCAGTCTCATTCCAGAGAAGGATAATGGCACGAAGAGCATTTACGGTTCGAGCTAGAACATTTAATACTTTCTTGTCGATATTTGCAGGGAGGCTCAAGGTACCATCGGGCTTGAGTCCGTGCACCCTCGAACTTTTGATTCAACGGAATAGCAAGAGTTTCATAGTCTGTCGAAGAGAGTTTCCTACTTTTCCCTTGAATCTCCTGTAAGCGAACTACCATTAATTGCTTGACTTACTTTTGTGGTGATGTAGGTCTAAAATCGATTAGTATCAAAAGAGTTGATGTTATATGTCCGAGAAGCACTGCTGAGATAGGATAATGGTAAGAAGAAAACAGTATGATTGAAATATGACTTATCTTGATGAAACAAGATGAAATCTTGCTCTTGAAAAGATAGCGTATGAACAGAGAGTTGAAAAGCTCAATTGCTATGAGAGGAATATGTCTAAAGATTAATATTGGGAAGTAACTTGAAGCAAGGTTGAAGATCGTCTCCTTGAAAATCACTGAAGGAGAAAAAAAACCAATATGACCTGTGCAAAGTGGGGTCACTCAAGATTAAGAAAATGATTTATGCAGCCTATTCAAAGTCAGGCTACAGAAATTGATCTAATATAACTGACTCATACTTCTTGCCAAAACTAGCCACCTTAAATAGTCTCTACCGAATTAAAAAAACACACAGATCAACTGAGACTAGCAAAAGCCGAGACTTGAAGAAAATGACTAATTCTAGTCATCACAAACTAAGTCGCGGTCAATTAGTGGTGCTCCATTCGATCTACAATGACTAAGACCCTGCCAGGCATTTGATACTTCTCAATTCCTTTACACTTCCGAGTATTCTATATACTCTTGGCCTTCCACTAAAACATCATCCCGTTTCCTCGCCTTATGCCCTGATATTTCGCACTTTCATAGCCACAGTAGACCCCCTTTTGAGCATTTTAGAACAGTCCCCAAATTTTTGTCGTCCCCACCCCCGATCTCCAACAGTCTCCAGCTCCATGTATACCTTGGACCCTTTCTAGACTGCTATTTTGTTAGGGACTTGAATCGGAATTCTTCCTGGAGCAAGTGAAGGCAGTTCAAAACTATGTAGGACTCTCGCATGATGGTGGAACAGTCCCGCTGTTTTCATTGCACCTTCTGCCGTCCCCATGCTTGAGCCTAGTGAGTCCAAGACTGACATGTCCCACACAATTATCATGCTTCCACGCCCTACTATATTCAGTGTAGCTATGTGAGCCAACATTGCTCAATCTGTGAACTGTTCCTTTGGAAAGACTGCTTTGTTGGATCGGGTGATTTTGTCACGGTTACCACACCAGATCCTACATTTATAACGTCTTGACTGTGATGCCTCATAGATGATCGTAAGGAAGGGATAAATCATGACTGCGGTGGAAGTAGAGAGATTTTGGCACGGGGGATAGGCAATGCTGTCGCTTGAAAGAGGTTGAGTCGTCTGGCTTTCATGGCATAGACGACGCCGTGTTCCCATTTCCAAGAACTAACTTCGAATTAGCAATTTTCTGTCGTAAATTGGAGCTCCAAACAACAATTACCGCCCTGCTTTCATATCTCCGTTGTGCAATTACTTTCGTAGTCTCAATCTGGCAATCTGGTCGGTCGTCACTTAAAACATTGAGCTGAACCACGTCGATTTTGGATCCCACATTTAGCCCACACAGCTTTGCCGAATATATTCAACGACGGGATATCGGAGATGAGTATGAACTCTAGAGAAGGGCCTCGAAGGATCGTGACTTTGGTAACTGGAAGTTCAATGCTTATTGCCCTTCTGATAAACGGAGGTATGGCTTATTTGTGAATTCCGGCAAATTGCCATTTTGAAAATACAATAAGAATGAGGATGATCCTGTTTTCTCTAGCGGCAGTTCTCGATACATGTGGCACATATACTTTGGGGAGCATGAGGTACAGATGCCTCACAGTAACTTGGTTGCATTAAGCTTAGTTGTAAACGAAGTAGCCTTGGCGAGGCTACGACACTATTTATACATGTACCCGACTCTCACCTAATCATGAAGCATGGTACTTGAACTATATTTTGGTATCGTATACTAGTTCCTGGGATATCGTTTCCTAGCGGATGATTCTGAGTTCTAATGGGTTATAACTGAAACTCCCGTGGTATGTGGAGAACTATGAAAGGTATGTAGATGCTCTTTTCAGCTTCAATTCATCATTGATAGACCTGTAAATCACTAGGGGTGAAATTTAAGGCTTATCCACAGTATGTAATAGCTCTTAGGTCCTGAAGGGTTCGAGTTTTGGGTCTGAAGCTAATGTATGGGGATTTTGAGGATCTTTACGTCATGATCTCACAAAGGTGGCAGGTAACAGAACGGCAGGATACTCTTGAGGAGTCATGGTCATACTTTTTCTATCCCGGATCTAGCTCCCACAGAACTGACCATCCCATAAAACTAATCTAAGTACCTGAGCGAGCACCATGTATTCCATGTAGATCTATCGGTGTGGCATTTTCGTCGAGGTGTTGTCATATAATCTGCTAGACCCATGATGGAAGTATCCGGGCCAAACCTCAACAATCGGGGAAATTGCTTGGCAAACTTATTGTCAAGGCTGGCGAGCTGAAAGAGGAGGCCATCGAAAGGTTCGATTAGTGCTGGAGATCAATCTGTGAAATTTGGAATTCAAAGATTGTAAACAGTTCCGATTTCCCGATCTGGAAAGTCGAAAGACCTCTCAATGAGGCCAGAGGTCATTTTCCAGTACCTGTGCTGGACCCTTTGACGACGCTGATGTTGCTCTGGTATTAGACTAGCAACCTTGTCAAAGTCAATGGGGGGGAATTCGATAATTTTTTGTGGATTGGTTAGTTTCTGGCGACGACTGGATCGACTGGATACCGGTTTTTGTGTTGTAAGGCGTGCTGATCTGCGTTTTTGAACATGAAATGCCTCAATTTCTTTTCTATGGCTTATCATAGCGAGAAGCTGATCGCCAAAACCATCCGATTCCTGTCCTTGACTCGATCTAGTCTCTTGGGTACCCCGATCCTCGGTCACTGTGACCACCGTTGTATCCTTCATCTGTGCCATGTTTCTCTTGGTGTACTTGCGAAACGTTTCCTGTCTCCACTCATTTAAGAGCGAGAGATCACTCGTGTCGTTCCAGTCAAATGGCTCTCCAAAACCCCGGTCATAGAATAACTCTCGATCCAAGCTAGGATCCTCCGTATTGACCAACCCGATCCGCATTTTGCTGGGTTGTTGGATTCCGATTACTGCTTCCGTACAGTCTTGCTTCTTCTTGAGTACCCAGTGGTCATGACCATATGAACGCTGTTCAGCACGCTTGTTTCGTAGTGGATCCATTTCTGTAGGCAATTTGTGGAAGCAGGCGATGCTTTTGCTCTTGGGTATTTGAGGAACAATCTCTCCAAGAAATGAGGGTGACGAAGTACTCTTACACCATTACTGTTAGTATGATGGAAAACAAGGAAGAAAGAGAGTTTTAAGGACACAAAAACTAGACTCACCTTGGCTACAGATGGCAATAGATCCAAGTTGATATCGATCTTTGACAAGCTTTTAGATTGTAAAGATCAAAGGAAAATATGGATTGAAGGAGACTCTTAGTATTGAAATCTGACAAGCTGGAACCACTCCGGAAATACCATATAATATTGAATATGAGTGTTAGCTTATCAGTCACGTGGACATATATGATGATTAGGTTGAAATTAGACGATTACCCCTGAATGAACGATAACATGTCCTAACTTCTTATCATTGACCAGAAAATGTTTGGACTATAGTAAGGGAATGTTGGGGATAATTTCAGCAAATAAGATAAGTTTACCTTAAAAATATGGGCCAAAAAGCTTGAATTTTGCGATAGAACATTTTTATGATTGAGACTCATCTGAATATTGTAATACAAGGTGACTAGATGTATGAAGCAGATCTACAGATACCAACAAAAATAGCTCAAGGTTACCAGAATACAATGTATGAATGATAGAAGGTTGACAGAGCATTACACCTTATATTTTTGATATCTTTGAGACGAAAGACCGTGGATATAAGAAAATATGAGGAACTCTAAGTCTATATCATCTATTGTTTCAAAGAATATTGATCATCTCAAGTTCTGTCAATCCTGTTCAAAGAAGTAACACTTGCAATGATATAAAAAGAAATGAGATATTAATCTGAACACTTAACAAACTAATTAAATAATTAGAGAATGATATATCACAGATTCTTTGAATGAGAATTATTATATGTAATATGGAATCAAAGAGTAAAGATTATTAGGTATATAATACATCGATTCTGTATTTTGATTGTATTGTCTAAGTTAAAATTCAACACTGGCTCTATATCTATGACAAGATACAGTATGATATTGATGCCGGTTGGTAGGAGTGTCAAACTGCAAGAGGGCGGCTTTCAACCATAAATACATTTTCATCTCTGGCATCGTTTTACAGCACGCAAATAATGACTTCTTCGAGCTTTAGTTTTAGCGTAATCGATAATCGATGAAGCCGGGCAACATGAAAGTTTAAATTTAATGATCAACTATATAAATTAGAAACTCTGATCCCAGAGGATGCTACCTTGTCTTCATATCTGCCAGTCTACTTCCAAGAAAATAGCACAAGAACTCCGGTGGTCATAAATCATTGGCAATATGGCTATGTCGCGGAACATTTCTTCTCTCGGTTGTAGTGTAAGTTGCAATAGAGACACGAATGAATGGACGATGAAAATCTTTAAGACTAATTCACCGTTATGCCTTTTAAACTCCAATCTCCACGTGGAAGAAATCATACACACGGTGTGAGGATCGTATTCGCATAATCAGAATAATTTAGAATGCATAACATATTCTCAATCAGAGGTTTGCCGACAAGATGAAAGGCAAATCAGTGCCATTGTGGTGATTAAGCAGAATACCCCGCAATGAAGCGAAAGTCTTACGAGCCGCAGAACTTCATGTGAAAATAAAGCGATACTAAAAATTATGGAAAACACAGGGACTTTTGTATCGTTAAGAAAGCCATCTCAACTTTATATTGACATAGGCGATTACGTCTTCTTTTAGCGGGATTGCAGATATGCGCCAAGACTAGTAGAATACTTGTGTTTGTGCCGAAAACGCACGATTCCTATGTTGCAGGCAGAATCACTATCCGACCAGATTTCAAGAAACTCGTAGTCGAAAAATTCGTCATCTGAGAATTCATTCCAAAGAGCGAAACAAATTGTGAAGTCATGGCAGACGAAACGGGTTGAGAATATGCAAGTAGCCTCTGAAGAATGGAAGAGGGCCGAGAACAAAATCGCACAAAATTCCCAAACAGATAAACGGCAGTGTATGATACACGAACTGAGAGAAAGGATGAGTCTAAGTTCGTTCTCAGTGCTCCAAATAGACGTAGTTTAGCCCACGAGAATTCCATCTTATTTTTCCTGAGATGAATGACTTCTTAAATAAAAACCATGAGAGTTCGAATTGATTGTTAAGATATCTGTGTTTTGAATCCATTGAGTGCACATTGGAGCATCAAATATGATGGCTCAATTAACTTTCTACAGCTTTGCTCTCTGTTCAGATGAAGGTTGATATTGGTGTGGCGAGAAGAAATACTAGTATGTGCCATCTAGGTACAAGAAATGTTGAGTTCAAGTTTAAAACGATTTGTCGAAAGTATTTGTCAACCCGCACGAGGTGCTAGGAATTCCATAGACCGATATTGCATGGTTAATAAACTGCGCGATATTGTAACATAGAGCTTCGTGATCGAAATACAGTACGCAGATCTCTATCAGAAATTATCTGAGATGCTGCATGTTTCCAACTTGTGGAATACTTTCACCCTCTGCTTCTTCTGTCAAATGTACCGATCCAGTTCCATAAGGTCCCCCAGTTACCTGGATGTTGAGTTCGTGAGGTGTTTGATCCGTATCTCTAATCGTTGCATACGACTCTGGCCATGCCGGAAATTGCTTCTGATCTTTCGATTCAGATATGGGATTTCCACTATAGGCAAAATTGATAAAACTTCTTGTGAATAATTCAGAAAGTTCTTTGTCTTCTTGGCTCAATTCGAGTTCGGGACATAAACCATTGAAGATGTAATTGGTGTCAGATCCGTGCGATACTCTCACGTATGGCATCCCAGCACCCTTCCATAGTGGCGCCAAAGTACTTTGGTTCAAATCGTACAGCCTCACTACAGAGAAGTCCGAGTCAAAGTTCTTGTCTTTACGTGTATGCTTTACCATGTGGTATCCGTACTCAATGGATGAGCATGTAAATAGAATATCTCGCAAAATTCGTGACAATCGAAAGTAGTGGACCGAGATATCAGGATCCGTAGATTCTTTGTTCAAATCGTAGTAAGACTTCTCTTCTTCGAAATCGGCTGCATCATACAAAGAAAATAACTTTGTGAATTGCTCTGAAGAAAATGCATGCGAGAATTGTTGGATACGTGACTTCATGTCCTCCTCAGTAACGACGAGATGCCCTGGACCCACGTTCATTGCGCCATCGTCTTGGGTCCAGTCAAATATCATTCGAAGCCCTATTTGAAAGATTAGACACTGAATTAAATCATTTGGCAACTTGCATGCGATTTACCTTTGACAAATTTCCCCGCGCGCATCAAATTTGATTGACGATCTGGGATGATATCTCCATAGGCAGCTTTCGTAGACAAGCGAGTATTTCAGAATCCGTGCCCTCACAGCCTTTCTTTTGTGCTACTGCCTTAGTGTGGTGATCAGTTGCATCGCTTGTGATATTTAATGCCGTTCCTGGCGGGCCTGACATTATCCAGGCCTGCTGGAATGGAGCTCCCTTTTTTCCTCCATAAGCCATTGTCTGCAGAGAAATCGAAGTGCCCCCCAGCACTCAAGCCATAAGCTGTGATACGATTTGGATCACCTCCAAATGATTTGATGTTATCTTTGACCCACTCCAAAGCGATACGTTGATCTCGCATGCCGACATTGAGAGATTTGGTGTCGGTTAACAGAGGCAAACGCGCAAAGCCAAATATATTTAAACGATAGTTGATCGCCATATATATTATAGGATTTCCATCGGCTACCGATAGTTTGATTAGTCTGTCTGGATCCGAATGGGGATCAGAACCGGAGCCTTTAACAACTCCTCCTCCATGTATCCAAACAACGACGGGAATATTGCTCGTAGATTTTAGGTTCGCAGGACGTGCTATATGTAGGTTGAGACAGTCTTCACTCATCTCACCTATCTCCGAGAAGAATGGTAGCATAGCATCTTTAAGTTGAGGGCAAGCTGGGCCGGGAATCGAGGCATTGAAAATGGTACCTGATGCAGGCGTAAAGGGCTTTGGAGGGGCAAATCGATTCTCGCCGGATGTGTCTTCGGCGAATTTGATATTATGGAAGTGCTCGACGGTTCCTGAAAGTTTTCCATCATAGCTTACTTTACTTTGCTCCAAGGAAACGGTTGGTGTTTGCTCAGCCTTGGCGTCTGAACTCGCAGCAACAAAACCATACGTAAAAACGAGCAGTACGGAATGCGAACAACGCATGATGTCAAGAATCGAAGGAGGAATACTTCGAAGAACAAAATAGAGTTATTTAAAAGAATGGTAAATGGCAAAGCAAAGCTTTTTGTGTAGAGGCAGAGAAAAGAAATAGAGCGAGATGGTTGCAAGCCGGAACTATAAAAGTCGACAGATGTGGGGGTTGTTACATTCGCAAGCGCAACGAATCGGGAATATACAGAGGTTGCAGCGGTAAGTATTGTAAAACGCACCAATAATTGGCCGAAAAGTACCCCATACGCGGGGATCTAGTCGATAATATTATCAAATTGAGTAATATTCAATGTCAGCGATTCTAAGTGGATAAAGTATTGTAAATTTCCTGTACGTCAGCCCGCATTTTCCAACTGCACTACTTGTTGCAACCAACAAACCTGTTCGGTCAGACTTGCAAACGTAAAATATGTGGAGATATGGAAATTTTTAGTTGATCAGGATTCAGTTAGTCGTAGGGTTGGGCACACTTTATACAAAGCAAGTGACGATTATCATAAAGCATATAATGAAGCAATTTAAGGATTAATTTAATAAATTGTAACTGACTGACTAATCATCTAAAAAACTTAGAGAATAGTAAACATATTCATAAATCAATGAAATGTTGCTAGCATATATAGGTGATATATCAGAAGAGAGAATAATAGTATTTGAATACAGTAGAAATATCACGAAGTTCAAGGATTTTCCGGATAGGAGAAGAATGATAATAATTGTTTGAGGAAGTAGATATCCAGGCTAAACAATCAGAAGTAGAAGATAGAAAAGGAAAGACTATCTCTATTGTACTAATAAGTTCATGAGAGAAGCATATTAACACACATATTAGAAGGATGAGAGTATATCAACTTTTGACATCAAGACAAGTGCTAGAAGACGTAGCTTGATGATAGTAAGGAGAGTAAAGTTGGGTTTGGACTATACAATTAGTATTGCGGATTATCACCGGAAGGATCTAGAGTGAAGAACTGATTACCTTTAAGTTGTACTTATAGACTTTTAGGTTTTAAAGTTCGCTAGCAGACGAGTGCTTTAATTTTCTAGTCAGAACATAGATATTCGCTACCATTGACCTGACTAAGAGTCTCAAACCACTACTACTACGGAAAACACCGGAAAAGCAGCGAATACAGTCAAACCTGATACATGTTCATCAAAACGACATATTGTAATAAAACAATACATATATTCTCTATTGGTTTCGCTTCTGTGTCTCCCCAACTATACACTATAGTGGCTGGTTTCTCATGGCAATTCTTGGGGAACTAAGTATTCAACCTACTAGTAACTGCGGTTTTTACTTCAGAATTTAAGCAGGTTGTTCAATCATCATACAGAACTGTGGCAGCTTGCCAGTGACACACATCAAAGTTCATATCAGAGTATCAAACGCAATCGATCTTTATTATCTTCTACTTAAAATCGTTGTCTATCTTAGTAATCCTTCATATATCATCAACAACAAGAACAAAGCTCATACTACTCATTGAAAAGGCTTACAAGACCGCTCTATTTCTCAGGACTTAGCACCTTCCTACCAGTATCAACTATGATTGTATCCTTGGTTCCACTCTCATCATCTGAGCTAGTTTCTGAGTCACTAATATCAGTGTCACAGTCCAGGAAAGCTGGCACCTTTCCACGGTTCTTCTTGACCTCCTCCTTGATCTTCTCCTGAATATCAGGCCAACTATACAGTATACTTTGAATCTCAGAGCTCGAACGCTCGGGAAAGTACCCCTCGATCTTGGTGAAGCCACCACCTCTAACCACAGGAATATTGTCAATTGTGAAGGTGCGTGAGATTAATTGAGCCAAAGGTAAGCCAGGGAGCCTCTTATAGTCGAGAAACTCATCATTCTGAGCATCTGCAACAACCTTCCAATCCTCTGCATCGAGATTTCCCTTCTTTTCTCTAACAGCATCCATGATATGTGCCTCCAGGAATGCTCTCTCCCATTCTGTCCATTTATCGGCCTTTGGCTTGGGTGGAGTAGAGTTTGATGTCTTTCTTGCAGCGGCAGGGAAATTGTCAGGAAGTCTTCGACGCAAGATTGAGTTCGTCCAGTCATTGAGCTTTGCGACAGTGGCCTTTCCGCTTGGTCCTTTCTTCCAGTTACGTCGGATACCTGGGTATTTGTACTCCCACACTTGTCCATTATCGGCGATCAGCTTGACTGTGGCCGAAACTATCTTACTGAAGGGATTGAGCATCACAGAAGCATTTTTGGCAAGGCTGAAGGTTACATGACGGCTTGAACGTGCTACGGCGGGTTGTTGGCTTAGGGGGACCGGAACCTATTGGGAAATTGGTTAGATATTGTATAGCAACAGTAGAGTTGAATAGATACGTACAGAAGATGATGGAAGAGGGGTTCTTGTTGCAGAACCTGGAAGAGCTGTTCGTGGAGGTGGGGGCTCCATTCTCCTGAGCTTGGTGTTATTTGTTTTCGAACCTTGGGGACGTCCTCTCTTTCTTGCAGCCTGCTTCGACAAGTAAGCATGTATAAGTGCAAAAAGTAAGGAGCAATACATACAGGAACTAAATCACCGAAAGAGTCTTGAGCGGTGCTTCCTGGACCAGTAGCTGTGCTTCCCAATACTTGTGACGCCGTGGATGTGTCTCGGGCTCCTCCAGAGTCATTATGAGTTTGAATGAAAGGTTGATGGCTACTAGGCTGGGAGAGATACGGTTCACGACCGGGAGTGAACACGTTCGATTTGCTCTGAAAACGCTCTCGTGTGTTATGTGGCGCCTCGGCTGCATAACTTATTGCATTATTGGGACCGAAAGCGATTTTAAGTGGATTATAAATGACAGGACCCGAATACTGAAGGTTCGGAGCTGAGACGGGCGCAGAATCTGAGCGAGAAGCAGTCTCTACGAAAGATGAAGGCTGCTGCTGTGTATTTCGAGGATTTAAAGAGGATCTGTAAGCTTCTAATCCACCTCTAGATGTGGTATTTCGCTCAGGTAGCTGGGAAGATGATGCGTGTTGCCTTGAGAATAAAGGCGGTGCACCTGGTAAGAGATCTGGAACCCGCGTGTTAATGTATCTTGACATTGGACGCCCGCTTGAACCAACTGTTTGTGGATGTGATCCTGGTGGCTGGCCTTGGCTTGGTGTTCTAGCAGGAGCCAGTTGTTGATGTCCACGAGGATTGATTGGACCTAATAGATGACTGAGAGACGCAGCATAAGCGGCATCGGAGCCTCTTCGCTCTCTGAGGAGCTCTGGTGGGATTTGAGAGGTGGTTGACGTTCGATGCTGACGGCTTCCTATCAGTCCACCGCGTTGCTGGAGCCGCTGTCTGTTAGGAGGTATCGGGGTTGTTGAATTCTCTGGTAGTCCTGAATCGTTTCTTTCGATGGAGGGCAGAGGGATATCTGGGTCTAGACCGGGACGTGGGATCATGGCGTTCCTTTTGTTATTTCTTTCGCCTTCCATAACGTCGGCAGTTCTAGTATTTGTAGTCGTAAGAGATCTTGAAGAGAAACAACAGACTCTGGTTTATAGTCTTGTACTGTTGATAAATGTAAGGAGAAAGCTCAAGATGTTTAAATACAAGAATAAGCTTTAAATATTTTTGGAAAGGATGTCGAGGAAGCGATGGAAAATAAAACATTCTTGACAAGGCATGTCTATTTATCCTTGAATCATCGCTTGCTGTACAATGAATCAGTTGTTAGGGCTACGGCAGATGAGTCTACCGTGGTTTGTGATTTTGTGGTGTATTAATCGAATGAATGAGTCATACAAGGCTGAAGTGTTCGTTTTTGAGCTATACGATGCTATACAAGACTCTGATACCATAATAGGCTGTATTAGAGAAGCCCGCCAGACTTCATACATTTATAGAACTCATAATAGCATTGTATAGAACCTTCTCTTCTCTTTTATACCTCAGATTTGTTTAATTATCTAGCTTCAAGCTCCTCCTAACATCTCGCATCTCTTTCCACTCCTGCTATAAGGCTTTTGTAGTGCTGAAGACTCTCATGCCTCGATTGAAGGCTTCAATGCAGCCCAATAATACTATGAGATTTACCGCCAGTCCCTGGATATAATATTAGTACCATCCGGGAGCTTCGTTCCTTCCACATCTTGAGTTTGTGAGCTAATTTGGCAGCATTCGATTTTCTTCCTTTCTTCCCAGGCCCTCTATCAGTTTCCTCGAACGTTCTATTCTTTTGCCTCCCCCTTCTCTTACTACAAGACTAACTCGTCAAACTACAGAGTCCTACATCCACTGAATCTCTCTTGAATGCCGTGATGCCGTAGAGATCTACAACAGAGTAGGCTATCGGCCGCCAGAAACATTTGTAGCTTGACAAACAATGATTCAGCAGCTCCTTGTGCATTGAGCGGATACTTTGATCTAATTTGTGTGCACTTACCTCCATTGCCACTTCTCCCTTCCTTAGATATAAAGCTAATCATTACAGCTACACGCGCCTCTGGTAGTTTCTGATTAAGTGGTCGCGGCTTGGGATTTAAAAATGCTTAAATATCACTGTCCAAAAGCTTCGTTCTCTCTTGCACATTGAAACTGTGTGCTAAGTTTCCTCTACTTACTAACTATCTAATCCATTCCTCCAACTACAATCACTCTTCTTCCTCCTATCACTCATGATTCCCCTGTTAGAAAGCTACCTAAGTAAGGCTATGCAGCCGAACTTCCTATGCGAGGCTCTGTTAGCCCTCAACTTGGACAACAGCCGCGCAACCAAGTTAATACAGTAATGTGATTAATGGGATAGGTTATACATTTGATTTGAAATATATTATCTAGAGGGCTCATATCTTACTGTGCGTTGAATTGAATCTCTAATTAATTTCATAGCTCTCCTCCCTCTTGAGCTTATCTTGTACATAAACTGCGTTTTATACCTCCTAATACTACATCTATTGATCGCTTTACTCCTCCCACCTTTCATACTCCTCGAGCAGGTATACCTTGCTCTGTTAGTCCTCCCTGGTAATCACATCTTCGTTCTCGACTCCTCATCTCACACGTTTTGATTTACTGCTCCTCTTTCTGCTACATCACCCACTTGTATTCTTACTGCCCCTTTCAACTATTTTCTTAACCCTGTCTTTTCTCTCTTTCTATCACCCGGATACTCCATTACCTACAGTCGCTGTTTCAAATTACACTGTTAAGTTAAATTCGTTCTCTTACTAGTCTCTTTTACCCACACTTCTACTCTCAATACTTTCCCCTTCTGGAACTATAATACTAAATTGGCTTGTGTCATTTCATTACTCCGTCTCTGCCTTCTAGTCGTTGCCTGTTCTCTACACCACACCTGCTCACACCTAATATTTAGGCCCCCTCTTTCCCTCTCTCGATTCACAACGATAACTCGAATTCCTCCTGCTCTTCTCCACTTACTCTTGGCTTTCCGACCTTCACACATAAAAGCTCTCGTTATACCCATCGTCCCGGTCCATCTACTCTTCGAATTTTGTGAATAATAGCCGACAGACGTCGAGAGCCTGTTCCCTTCCTTCGATACCATACAGATATTGTCTCTCATTACTATTATCTATGCCCGCGGCTGTAGGATTGCCCCTCGAATACACGATCTAGACAATTATGGCTATCAAGATGCAATTAGCTCTTCGAAGAGAGACACAGGTGCCGTCATAGAAGATTAGATTCGGGGAATAGTGGTGCTTTTGAGCTGGAGAAGGCAGAGCACACAACTGATAACCATTTTGGTAGGCAGAACTAAAGTGGGTAACAGCTATTAAACGCCTTATTAGATTTCATTCGTAGCTGTCTGCGAATAAGTTACCTCTCTACATTCTTATGAATCATCAAGCTAATTCAGGAGTCACTGTGACACAATTTAGATACCACCTCTCGAAAGTCTACAAACATGATCCTAATTCAAAACCCGTACTCGAATCATCCTATACAAAAACTATATAATAATGAAAGGCTGTGAGTAAAAGAACATCTTCATCCACTGCATTTTCTAGCGAGTAAAGCATATCGAAGTGTTTGAAGGAGGTTCCTGACAAGGATAGTTTAGACACAGTGCGAGATAGCGGCCACATCCTTTGAAGATCTACATAAAGATACATAAGAGCGCATATAAGACAACGGAGGTAGGTCGTAAATCCTTGGAAAGTGTTATGAGATGGTTAGTTACTACGAACAATATGGGGGACCGACCAACCACCTCTGCTTCCGCGAAAGAAAATATTATATTACAACCTACAACCGTGAATAGATGAGTTTGAGGTTGCGGAAACCAATATCCATCACCCATGTGGTTGTGAGGTACCTCCAGTCAATGGAGCTTGCTATGTTGTGTGCTTTATGATTACGAAGTTAGCAGACTGCAAGCGAGGAAGCCTACAAGGAAGCCTACGAGGAAAACTAGTTCAAATATAATGTTCTTACAATGCTAAAAGTCCTGACAACTGCATCAATCGTACAACACTGTCACGGACGAATCATTGGTGGTGGAGAACAAATATCATCCTTTTTTGTGTGCATATACCTTCAAAGATTGTCATACTAACAGGATTTGATTTACACATATTCATGAGTCATCACACACAAACTCACTGCGGGACCGAAAGCAACCACAATATAACCTGGAGAACACTGCAACACCCCGGTAGACTGACAAGTAGCCCCTGTATTATGAATAATCTTGTGGAATTCTGGTTATCACACACATTTGCTCCTTTACTACATGGCGTCCTCTCTTTCATATTCCATTGATCTTCCAACATACATCTCCTACTTCCCATATCAAGCAAATAGTAAAGTCTTTAACTGCGGTCTAATCTGCTAACTCATGGAGGGATGGAGAGGTTCAAGTTGGGACCTGACAGTATAACGTGCTCTTTATAATTTAGTTGCTGGAAGAACCACAATTATTATCTTGAGAGATTCGATTCTTTAATTCCAATTTAACGACAGATTCGCTCCAGTCCACCCCTCTTCCCTCCCAATTCATATCTCTTGGCTCTATGTGGATAAACCAGATATAAGGACAGGACTTGTAAGTATCTGCTAACCCCCCCCCCCCCCCCCCCCCTATTGTATCCTGTTGTCCATCCCTTTCCCCCTTCTTTTCCCGAGTCGGTGTGATTGTGAAGCCTTAGTATTGTATACTAGGATCTTTTTCTGCTATTCTTGTGTTCGGACTGGATTGTATGATCCTTGTAATCCGAGCAAAGGATTTGTTGTCTATTTATGTATAACTCTTGCTATTTCTCCCCTCTAAGCATAATTCTTAGTCCTTCCTCTATTCTTTATGGAGACAAATGACTGTACACTATATACACAACAAAGTCTTATGAATGCAGAATTCATACATTCCCATCTCCCATTGCTCCTTTTGGCTTTCCCCTTTTATTTCTTAAGTAGATGTAAACATGCCGATTTCATTTCACCTTTGCTGCAATTTAAACGTTAACAGCCAAATATCGAGCTTAAGATAGGTGCGTGTGTTCATTTGTATTATTGTTATGATATCCGATTATAAATTCTTTTGTTATCTAGGTTTCCCAGTCTGTGAATATGCAATCTGTGAATGGTCGTTTTCACCAGAAAGGATACTCATATTCCGGAGATCATCACTCCTGTTGTCTTCTCCAGTTTTCCACTTTATCTTTGTGTTCCCCGACCCCCCTTGGATAAATATCTCTTTTTTACTCATTGGGTGTTGTGCAGTTTTGGGCAGGTATAGGGGTATAGGGGTTATCAGATCTTGGATGTAGTTTGTATAGGGGTTCTAGTGGACAAAGAACCATCTGTACAAGAGCTCATTAATATATAGTCTGGTATACCGTTATTAACCTCCAAATAGCTGGTAGGTTAGCATACAATCAATGTGATCACACCTAGATAATTCACAAAAGGAGAATACTATTCATACTATTGAAACGATACTCATAAACTAGTTAGTTGCCTGAATGTTTGGCAGAAGTAAACACTCAACATTGAGCATGTCACAAAGCTGGTTATCTGCAGGTATCCAGACGAAAGAAAGACAAATCTGCGAGATAATTAGGCTGTATAAACAAACAGTGGCAGGTTGAAGATAGGTCTTTTGCTAACTAAATGAGAGGTCTTTCAATGATCAGGCTCGATAATTCAACTTGAGTAAGGGAGGGCTTCTAATCATCAGAAAGTGTCCCAATGAAACTCTATGTCCAAAGCAAAACTTCTCAGTCCTGAAACGTAAAGAGATGTATGAGATATATGTGCGAAAGCTAATTAGCTTGGCCATGAGAACGAGCAGTGCTAAAGACAGAGACCAATTACCAATTTGTAAATAAACATATAAATGAAGAGTTGAAACCTCATAGATGATGTACTGAAAGCAGGTATAATACTACATGAGTGTATTTGTGAATGTTCAAACATAGCACAATGAACCACATAAACAAATCAAAGTTTCGTTAATAACATCAATAGTATCACAACACCAATATCTCTACCATCTCTGCCTTGTGAACAAGGCTCTCTATTCCATCTGATATCCAGCTGTACCCTCCTATAACAATCTGAATGATTCAATTTCAGTCACAACCTCGGCTCACATTAAACTTGAAATTTCACTATCAAAACTTCACAAGACGACAGTGAAACACAATTTTGAGCATGGTCATCTTTTGTATTTTCGGAGAAAAGCCATACCCCTCAGTACAGCAGCATTTGTTTAAGTTTTATTTATCATAAGCTTTTTCTTACAATCCAACACTCTCCTTACCTCTCTGGTCCCGTTACTCGCAGCATACTTCCTGATAACTATTTCTGTTGGCATCACCAACACCAAACCCAACTTCAGTATTCGCAGTCTTCAACACATCTTGCAATTTATCTCACTGCTTGCTTCACATTTCCAATTCTGCGCTTCTTCCATCCATCGCAAGATCTATCCTCTTTGCCCAGCGAAAGCCGGCATCTCCTTCACATCCATAGTTCTATACAGATATAAAAGCTTCCTAGTAACTTCTTTCTGAAAGTAATTTGTTTGTTTCCAAGACCCTGCATTCGATTTAATCGTATTGGAGACGCTGTTCAACTCTACAACCATAGGCGCAGTAAGATCGATTCTTTCCCTTCATAAATTCTAGTTTGCACATGCTAATATTATCTGTTTAGGCACAGGATAGCACTTCTTAAAACTCTCCTCGATTCCTCGAAAGAACTCCCTTGCTCGAGCCCATTTTTGGCGCATACTCGTTGGCGTCGAAATACACTTGTATCGTTTCTTTGGAGAGGAATAACTACTCATAATGGTATGTTCAGATTCATATCAATCTGTATTACATTTTCAAGTCAATATTGCTTGATCATTCTTTTCTATACACGCAATAGTGTGTAGTAAGTCTTATAGTCTTGAGTTGCTTTAATGTATGCAGTGCATGCTCTATGTATATTTATGCGATCTATCTCGAAACCCCACATCTGTTGCATAAATACCGTCCTCTTCACACATATTGTTCGCTCATCCCTCTTTTCTTTTGGGATCTGCTTCAACAATACCTCACTAGATTTTACACAATCATATCCTACCGTCCTCGCCGATCTGGCTGCGTATCACGTAAACTTCCTCGTCCGTCAAGTATCCATATCATACCACCCTCTCCACTTCACATTCATATGATAACCAGGCTACCCCCCTTCGCACAATTAGCGCCCAGTGGGTTCTTCAGTTTCGATCTATATTCGCAATATCACATTGGAGTTGATATATTGATAGCCTAGTCGGCTAATCTCTTGAGTCTACTTACTACCATTATCATCCGATTCGTTCTTGATTATTAGATGATTAATGTAGTGCTCTTCTGGAATGACTATTGCGAAGATTTCACTGCATATCGAACATCTAAGTCAATCCACCTCTTCTCTCCCAACCATTCTTCTTCAAATGTCCACTCAAAACCAGAAATTCATCTCAGCTGAGATGATTACGAAATGAAATAGCATTTTCACCAACCCATTCACTATGTTCCTTACTGGCAAGTACTAACCTACAACTCAGGCAGGAAATCAACCCCGACAGCTCACCAAACCATATCCGGAGCCTGGCGCACCATGCCACCATGGAGATATTACGAACCATACAATTGGACAATACTGCGTCATCTGCACGAGGATGAAGATGCCTTGGGGCGGGTTTCTACCAGTTGCTCGATATCAAGGTTTGCCTGTGTCTATAGGACGAACAGGCACGATCCTGCAAGCAGTCCAAGTTGATAATCCTCGCGAGATAGGTTTAGTGGCCATGGCCACATGGGCAATCGTAACCAACCAATGGCATAATGCCGTTCAGATGAACGCTAGTATTGAGCGGGGACGTATACAAGCTGCGGCCCATGCCATCACAGATATCGCTTATTTGGTTGCGCAAAAACATGGATTTGCGGAGGTGAAGTGGTGGGATGTACTCCACGAGGCTCTTAAAAATCCAGAGTTGACAGTGGCCGCCTATAAAACACGTATTCGTGGGCCTGCGGCAGTTTCCACAAACTCCAAGATAAAATCAGAAAGCAGCAGGGCAGTCATTGTAGCCGAAGCAGACGAGGGTGAAGAACAAGAGGATGAGGATCTTGGTTATGATGATACTGACAAGATTCCCGATGGCGAGAAGCTCTTATTCTTTAGTCGTGATGGAGTCGACGTAGACGATGAATTTGATGCTATGGATTCGAAAACAGAACGGAAGATATCGCCTTGGCAATTTGCTCACGGACAAGATTTGGATCCTGCTTATTGGGCTACCCCGGATACTTCCAAGTTCTTCATGGTCCGTCAGCTTCGACATAATCCAAACAAGATCAACGTCAGAGAATATCCCCATATCGCTGGTTTTGACTGGAATGATAAAGAGGCCGTTCAGGCTTTGAACAGGGGTCGAAATCAAATCATTCTTCGAACTATCGGTCCAAAAGCACCACCTAGATTGCCTTGGTCGCAAAAGGAGAGGGATCTCTTGCGACACCAAGTAATCTTAGGGCTCAATCATGGCGTGAGTGTAGTCCGTTTGACTGAATCTTATGAATTGTTGACATCTCTAAAACTTTACTGACTCTTCAATAACAGTACACAAAGAACAATATGCCCTGGGAGCAGGTTGCCCACAACATCAACGTTGATTTGGAAAAGGTCACCCAACGAAAAGGCTCCCTCCTCGCCAGACCAAGCAAATGGAACACCCGGACAAATCAAGAAGATTTCTACATGAAGAGATACCTCACCATGCAAAAGAGCCGCACTGGTTCTGATCGCAATGCAACCGGTTGCATGAACCAATCTACCAAGTTTGGCGACATCGACGCGCTGCTTCGTAACAGTGTAGAACATTCCAGCAGGCGCAAGCCTCTCAACGATATGATCAAACTCGTTAGTGAGAATCAGCATGTTCCTGCCGTTCCTCATGTTTGTGCCGCTCCTTCTGCCACACAAGGTGGTAAAATTCAGATGAAAGATGGGGAAGGATCTTCGGGCGATGAACCTTCTTCTGCACAAAGCGATAGGATTCAGAACAATGGTGCCGATACATCCTCGGACGATGAGCCGCTTATGAAGCGTAGACAATCATATCATACTGCCAATAAGTCTTCAGGCAATGAACCACCTTTCACGAAGCGCAGAAAGTCAGACATGGTCAATAAGCTCAAAAAATAATACGATACGGTACAAAACCCTCTCATTCGATCATCTCCATGTTTAATTTCGGTATATTCGTCATTTCTACCACCCATTCCCCTCGAAGCATCTGTAATACTCAACTTTTTGGATGTCTTCGCTGGTGTTCTTCGCTTGTTTAAATCTTACCGGCGGCCTTGGGGCTTTAATTTATTTGGTTCACGGGGCTCTTGTCATTGCTGGAAAATCTAATCGCAGTTGGACAAGTTAAGGGAAGACTTAATTGAGTATAATGGGAGATTGGCTTAATGATAGCAAGGCGAAGATGTGTACAAAGATAGATTAACTTTGAGGTAATCTTAACGTTGGGTTTTGTTGGAGACCCTGAACTTTTAGAAAGACCCTGATAGCAGTTTATGCGAAGTCGATACTCTCTCTAATTATCGTGGCCGGCCGATGCTGTTGTCTTCGTTTGCGCATATGCCAATTCTTGTGGTTTTGGTAAAGCAACTTGGCTGTCTCGAGAAGTTGATGCTCATGTTTTCTTTTTGCGCACATATAGCCCATACTTTACGGCGATCTAATCACCATAATTGTTGCAAGGAATTAATAATAATGTTCACTCTCGTACATAGCGATGTAATAGACTTTGTCTCCAATAAAATAATATTGTCTAATTTACATTCTTATCAGTTTTTTTAGTGACGATCTGTGAATGAGGAATGTTTGACATTTGTTCGGTGCTAATTGCGAAATGATCGAGATAGAAGCAGGCAAGGTTGAAACTTATGGTATTTAAGAAGGAAAGTAGAGCTTGAGGCTTGGTCGAGAGAGGGGGCATGATATGTAATAGAGGATTCTTTCAAAGAAGAATCGGAAGTTGGAGTTTGGAGGAGGTGAAGTCGAGTAGGAGAGATTATTATGCAGGTTATTTTGATGTGAATGAAGAACTAGTGGCCTTAGGTCTAAGTTAGAAGCAGAAGGCTCGATTCAAAAGCCTAGATAGGGCAGTTGAGATTTCATCAGCCTCATCTTCGCGCTGTATCTTGATAGAATCGTCATTCTTAGAAATTTCCTAGTATGGACACTGTCACTATCGAGTAAGTGATTGCTTCAAGCACCGATGAGGCGGTCTCTTGCTAGTTAGCATATCAAAGTGCTGAATAGCAGAGAAGTCCCAAATATATTCACAACTACCATACTACTCAACCATACTTGCCCACATTAGAAATTTCTGAGTCACCCTGCTCATGCCAGACTATAACTACAAATCATGAGCTTCAACACAAAAGTAGCATCGAGCCGTAAACCGCTTCTTCCTGATTACTATGGACGGAAGTAATTCTCGACTACCTCGTTCAAGCACATAAACGCTATCTACCCTCGTCTATGACCCATACATATGGTGAAGCCTCGGATTTCATAAACTTGACAATTTAAGAGTCCCAGTGTAGTCAATAGTTAACGAGTTGATCTAATGCACTGATTGAACTGGCAGTTCAGTTTGATGAATCCAAACCGTCAATCGGCTTAGTTTATGATATTCAAATTATCAATTGGACTTGGAGTTTCAAATTACCAGTTCAAGTGACAGTTTATTTTCGTGATCCTGATTGCCAATCAGTTTAGTTTATGATATTCAATCTGCCAGTTTACCGACTGGTTCAAACTACTGACTACACTGATTATGACTACAAAATTACTACATGCTCAAACGGGGCGGAAATGACACATTTGCAACCAATACACCCCATAAAGATCTTCTTTCCGCATTCCAACCCCAACTCCACAATCTTCTTCATCCAAGAGACAAGTATGTTCAAGAGTACAAGGACGTACAATTACTAACCACCTGCACTCGCGAAATCTCGAGAGAAATCCGAATTTTAATATCTTGCGCTTAGCTAGGTCTTGGAGTGACGAGCATGAATAGAATATTACATTGATATTCCCACTCCCATTTCCATACATCAAAACTGCAAAGACCGCTGCGAGTATCGCAACAAACAAGCTAAGCCCACATAACTACCTAGATCTGGAACTTTTGGCTTATACATTCTACTCTTAGCATGTTGATCCTGCTCGCTCTTGATATATTTCGGGGGTGTAAGGCTAACATATTGGGTCTTGGGTTTGAAAGCTAGCAAAAAACATTGTTAGAAGTGAAGATGTACTTTGAAAACATCCCTGTCTGTCTGATGTTACACAAAAAGCGGGGTACATATTTAAGCGGAGGAAAAAGGGGTTGTGCCTCCGGTGATGTGATGTGAACCAATTTATCATGCACAACACATCAGATGCACCATAAATCAAAATAAATATCATCATTCCTATCATTGCCTCAATCAATCCCTAAACTATCACAAATAAACCATACCACCATACCCAATCCCAAACGCACCAAATAAAGTCGGGAAAAATCCCTAAATCCACCCTCATCATCATCATCATCATCGTATATGAACCATCTCCATAATTCCTCAGCATCATACAGATTCGTATCCTATCCTATCGCATCAATCATCAAATCGATGAAACAATAAGAGCTAATGATCCATATGATATGTAAGTATTCATGCCACAGAAAGTGAAGTCCATCATATCATTCATATCCATATCCATATCCACACCACCATGTAACACCCCACATCGACCAATCGAGTAAAAAAAAAATGAAAACATGTGCTGCGTAAATGCCGAGTTCCAAAACATCATTTTTCATGAGAATGAACCGTCAGTAGAGGGGAAATGAGCCTGCATCTGCATTTTGAAAAGAAATTTTGTGCCGAGACCGTGCTGTTGAAATAAAGGTGGTAATCGTACATTTTGCAAGGTCTGGAGTGGATATTCGGTGTGTGGGCTGTTTTGCTAAGTGAAAATTGGAAAGCTTGTGCCATGTGGTGAGGAAAGAAAGGTATTTAGATGTCAGGCCTATATGCAAAGTATAACAGCCGGAAAGAAGCGGATCAAACGTCTCTAGACGTAGTAGTGAGTCTACTGGCCTGGATCTGATGATGGCTCAATTCTTGTTTGACTTCGCATCAAATTGCTTTGCATTGCGCTTGGTGAATTTCAAAGCAAAAGCAGTTTTCAAAGCTGGGTGTCCCATAGGTAGATATGACGATCCATCATCGTCATTACCATCGTCATGTTTCTCGAACTCACGAGGAGGTGGGCTGTTTGAAAAGCTGCAACTGGCAGACTTCTTCTTCTTTGTTGGCCGGTCGTCTACTTCGTCCTTCTCCTCGTCAATCATCTGTGAGAGGCTTCGACGGGGATCTCTGAGCACACCACGACCCCCCTTGCCGCCAATCCCTGACGCATTATTGACCATTTGAAGAATGTCGGGGTATTTCAAGGCCTGAGTTTCGGTTGCAGAGCCACTCCGATTGTAGCCCGTACGGTCGCTGCGACTGGTTTTGAGAGCTGTTGAGAATTTATACGTCAGTTATTTTACTCTAGATAGAAAGTGAATTCACAGCCGCGGTTCGGGCTTTAGTAGGCTGAAAGAGTGAACCTGCAAATCACAGAAGCAACAGCAAGGTAAATTTGACTTACTCTTGTCCTTTTTACCATCCTTCGGCTCTCTCTCAACGCCTGGTGCCAACTTCGAACCCTTCTTCTGGGGAACTCCCTCAAATCTGGTCTTGAGTCGGGCTGCAATGTCGTTCCAGTCAATCGTCTGTCTATTAAGACCAGACTTAATGGCTTCCTGCACCTCTTCGACAAGACAAGCCTTCTCCAACTGTGTCCACGGGACTCGTGTTTTAGCAATGTTACCAAGGACACGTTGAAGGTTTTGCGCCCTAGCCTTGTTGAGATCATGGACATTTTGAGGGTTGTTCCAGTCAAAACCAGCGATGTGAGAGAATTGGCGAACATCAACCTCCTTGGGATCGTCGATATTTTCTCGGGTCAAGTAAAACTTGCTTGGATCAGGTTTACCAACTTCAGCATTTTCGAGATCGGATCCTTCAACAAAACGCCAGTTGACACCACGTGTGTTCTTCTTTACTTTCGGAAGCTTACGGAAGCTAGGCTCTCCATGCTTGTCCTCCTCATTGCTATCGTAGACCTTAATGTCAGAGCCTTCATCGCTGCAATGTGGTGTGGTACTGGGTACCGAGTTACGACGGCCTGGTAAGTCCAATCGACCACTGGATTTTAGAATATTTTTGTCATTTCGCTTGTTTGCCGCAGGTGGAGCTTTGAATTGACGGGCTCTTGTATTGGCAGGTTGCAAATTCCACTCCCGAATTGCTCGTACAAAGTATTGATCGCGAGTTAAAGTTGGTTCTTTCAATAACTCGTGAAGAACATCGAACCAATGTGGCAATCGTTCACGTTCACTTTCATATGCCAGTGCTGTAAGCTCTTGGACTAGATCTGCGATTCGACAAGCAGCGTCATGCAATTCTGGGAAAGGTTGAAGGGCTTCTAGATGACCAAGTTCAGTGCTAAGACTTTGTGACTCGATGCGAAATTCGATAAGTAAAGCAAGCTCAGTGATCTCGTAGGGCTCAGTCAAGTTTCTGATTCCCTCAAGTAGTGTACCTTGTGGGGCGATACGGATTGTGTTGCCGCTAGTGTCGAGAGCAATCGGATGACGATCCCCCCATGGCATTTTGATGCCACGGCAGTAGAAGCAAAATTGGCCGATGAGGTGGTTAGGGGCGAAAGCGCAAGTGGGACTGGGATTCGGTCGGGTGAAGTGCATTTCATTGAGTGCATGATCTGGGGTACTGATCGTTGCATCGGGAGACGTTGTGGACTTATTGCTAGTTTTCGGTGGAGGAATTAATTGTGATCTCGTGCCAGTTGCCGTGGTATTGTCGGATTTACTGTCACTACCACCCTCAGAGATGGAACCAGATTCATGCTCTTTTTGATGAGCAACAGTTGTAGATGCGTTCGCTTCATCCAGAAATTCTGCCTCCCGGCTTTTAATTGCTGATTCTTGCTCAACTTCCGTGGAAGCAGCAGCAGCACTGGAAGCAGCTAAGCCTGAGTAAAGAGGTAACTTCGGATGGACGGACATGTTTATTTCTTTGTTTTGTTCCATTGCTTGTCTGATGTCGTTCCCGTGTACTCGTCCGCGGTGGGTTTTGGGTATTTCGCTAAATGTTCCGCTGAGTCAGTATCAATGCTTGAGATGCCAAACGAGTTGATTCAGGTGAATGTTTGTTTCAATGAACGCCTGTCAGAAATAGTCGAGATCCCTGAAATACTAGCCACTGGTATGCAACACAGACTCTTGACTTAGAAGTATGTGTGGAGTGGATGAGTAAATGGTAAAGGGTTCAGAAAAGGAAGATATTGTATGCGCAGGTGTTAGAAAGAAATTCAACTTACTAGAGGTAAAGTTATCCTGGAAGCTTCAAGGAGAATCCCAAAAGCCATCAAAAAGTGCGCCGAGAATGTTACTGTTACCGCAGGTGAAAGAAATAGAAATCCAATACTAAGAAAGGATCAAAAGGTTACAAGTTATTGAAGAAGAGAGTCAAGAAAGAGTTTTGCGAGGGTGAGATATTGAAGTTGGGATAAAGTGACGACTTTAGAAAAGGTTGTTGTGAAAAGAAAAAGTTGAGGCGAAAGAAGTTGTTTGGAAGACCTCCACAGAAATTTCCCTCTTCGCTAGATTCAGGCATCAACTTTTACCCCATCATCAATACACTTGGCGATGAATGAATATGATAACTCGGAATGAGATGTTTGGTGGGGAGATTGGAGAGTGAATAGTTTTGATTGGATGAGATGGTAATGATATCAGTAGCTTGAGTGGATGTATTGAATAATCAATTGATAACCCCGCATCTTACTCTCATGAGTCACATTTTGATACTATGATTCTACTATCTTCTACTCTTCGTTAAGGGATAGAGTCGGTATAAGATTGAAAACAAGGTAGCATTGGTCTTTTAGCTGGACATTCAATCTTGATCATGGGTCTGGGAATGTGCACAACAGGAACCAATGTTCTTGAATTGAGTACCTATAAAAGACTGCACTTGAATTATTTCTCTTTTGTTCTTCTCTTTTAGCAATACCTCAGTAACTATCAAAGACTTTACGTGAGCCATGTATTTGTGAAAGTGTGAAGCATTTCTACTAAGTTTAGCTCCTGAGCCGGGCCTACTCTTTCCTCGGAGCCAAGCATTGTAGCTTAGAGGTCTAGCAAGATGTGTCACTATTCCTAGGTCTCTGACCCATATGGAGAAGCTGGTCTGAATCAGGTATTTTTTATATACAGCGAAACTTTATAGGGAAAAAACTGGACCTACAATCCCATATCCTTAACATTCGGTCTTTTCTTAAGCCAGTCACATACCGCTATATTTATATGAACTTCACTATTCATATATTTAGTCCTATAAGTCTATAAACCTACTTTTGGGCCACCCTTTATATAAGGTTTTGGTATTTGATTTGTATTGTTGATTGTCTATATCTGCAAAAAAAAAGATGTTGGTTACCGAGTGGCAGAATGGATATATCCCTAATTTTGGTACTAACAATACCTCCGTAAATAATTTATCGATATTATATAGAATTGTTGATACTATATCGCATTATTTAATTATATACAATATTAATATCAAAAAGAAAAAAGCGTCTATTTCCATTATCATTATTAAAACTTAAAGATATATACTCGAGTATTTTGATAATGTATTCTCTTGTACTCGAGTACAAGGATTAGTTTACATTTTTGGTTTATTTTCATATTGATCCAAACGGAATAATTTCAAAAGTATATATCCAGAGTTGTAGAATGGAAAGAATATTGGAGACATCTTTTTTTATACAATACAAAAATTATGCGTGACACAGTCTAAACGAATAAACAACTAATCAAATTTATGGATTTTGTCCTGAAGCATATATAGATTCCAGCCTAGAAATCCGATGGTACCATTCAATCAATAGAGTCCGTATCTCTTTTGATAAAACCTTTAGACAGCTAGATATGACATTGAAATCATATATTTAAATTGGGCACTTTTAAGTTTAATATCAACATACTATATCTGAAAGCAAGCAATTCAATAATCTTCAGAGTTATTGCTCTGGCAAGGGTATAATTGATATTTGGCGGTTAGCAGATCGAACATTTGTAGAAGGCCTAACTTTTAAGTTATTCGGCGGCTGTCGGTCATCCCTGGTCGCGGCTGCTCTGCGGATTGGTGTATATAGAGGATACATATGCACAGAGTATACGACTAAATGCTAATTAGTTTGAAATAATAAGGAACTTAAGATATGAGTAAACTTACAACAGCTTTACCCAAAAGAAGGACTGGTAGTGAAATTGGGTATCTGGGAATAAACCCTTTTGCATAACTCTTGTAGTACACTTCAAAACAAATAGTGAGTTTGCAGTCACGACAAGTCGCAGGTCCAACAAACCTGCCCTTGTCGAATATTGCCTCGTAGGTCTTATCAGTATGAGCCATATCATACTCCCTTGACTCTTGAATATATAGTAGCAAGCCTCTTTTTCAGATAAGCTTGAATCTTGAGGGATATGGTGGAGAGCATGTTCTTCCGAATCATCCGAGAGATCAATAGAAAGATCATGCTGTGCATCAGACAAAGACTTCCTACACATCATAACGTTTGATACTGAAAAACATTCATCTGATTCGTCTTTCTCTGCGATATTTCGCAAGACCGCCGATCACTTGACATGTCGGGATATATTATAAGAAGTGTTCAATCAGTTAGTGAGAATGTACTTTTGCTGATTAGTAGTGTATCACTTAAAAGGCTCAATTTTTGGGTTAATAGAATCTGTCTCGAAAAATGAAGGGGTGTCTAATGACAGATTTTAAGGATTTTGATTGATGAACCTTTTTTCTTCTCTTAATATAATATTTAAGGCAAATGTTTCAAAAAAATTAATAGAGTTATTAGATTATATAATTAATCAATTAACCAATCAATTCTCTATAAGTTATTGTGAATTCTTTAATCTTAGTTTTCTATATCCGTATAGTAATAAATGATTATAGATTAGAAGTAAAGAGATAATAAGAGGAAAAGAGAGAGAGATAATAAAGATTATTATATATTATACGAGCTTGGCTTCGGCCTCTTCAGGGCCTATAAACCCTAAATAGGCCTCTATCTTCATTTGTATTGTATAGCTATAGGATTATATAGCTTATTAAGCTTTATTATTATATATTCTGTTGAAAGTTATAATGCACCTAGGGAATAGTTCGTTGTAGCTCTTTAATCTCTTGATATTTTGGCTATTGAGTTAAAGGATTGAAAAGGAAAGGAGAGCTCTAGGAATAAGTAACTATATTTAGTCAGTCAGATTTACTGTTGTACTGATGACTTTCAATATACCTTTTTGTTAGGAATGCAATAAAGAAGCTCCTTATCCCTAAGTCCAGTACCCCACTTTTCGGCCACCCCCCCTTTTGGGCCACCCTAAAAACCCATACCACTCGTTCAATCTACCTTTTTATATCTTTTATAATTCAACAACCCTTTAATCAATTGATTTCAAATTTTGATATATTATTATTTATATAATATCAAAACTCTATACTAAAGACAATATTGTTGTAGGTTTAAATACAGTTACAAATAGTATTTCAATACAAAAGATTGCCCTGAATTATAGAATCCCCTATACTATATTTCAAAGTTGTGTCAATAACTACCTTTTTTATCAAAAAGGAATCCAAATATTTCAAAAGATTACCCTAATTCAGAAGAGATATTTAATAAAATAGATATTAATACAAATGTGACGGAACAGACGGCTCTCTTCCGCCC